GCACTAATTCACCCCCCCCCCCCCTCTTAGTGCCGCTCCGATCCTAACAGATTGATTTGATCTATGACATCAACTTCAACCAAGGACCATTGTTGTTATGAAATTTGACAGGAGGCCATCAGCTGGTGCCCCAAGCATACAGCTGAGAGAAACCAGAAGGTGTCATACTCAACTGCAATTAACAAAGAAATCATTTATGGCTAGTAATCAAACCATGAAGCAAGCTCCTCCAAATACAATAGATGCATAAGTAGAGAAGCAGAAGTGCATAACAGAAGGGAAGAGGACAAAGAAAGCGGTAGGGCAAGATCAAAATTTGAACATGGTATGGAATTTTATAAAGCACAACAATTGAAATAGGTAGTCATTATTGGTATAAGATCTATTTCCATGATCCAATCTTTTCATCTATGTACCCATTTCTTGGGGAAAGTCACATAGATCCATGGAAGTCCCGACCCCAATCCTAGTACATGTTAGCTCATCCTAGGGATCGATTTATCTCCTTACCTAAACAAAATAAAACCCCAATAATCTCTCACTCACTTAGGGTTCAGCTGCACTGTTAATAGAGTATCAAAGGGCTTTCATGTAAATAACAAGAATTTGTGGAATTACGGGCAAAAGCAAAAAGATTTAGAAGCTAAATATTTTAAGAACTCCTTTAAATATTGTAATTAAACAAGAAATAGAAAATTCCGCTCACTCCTCTTCTTCCTACTTCTATATCCATAAAGGAGGGCTCTAGGGTTCAAAAGATAACAGCTCAAGTTGCCCTAGTTGATTTAAGGGAATAAAATGATAATATGAAACTGTGTCAGTTGATACGAAACCATATTAAACCACCCAAATATTTGGTGCTAAATCTAATAAAGTTCAACATTCATACAACAGAAGCTAAGACAACATAAGCTGCAAACGAAGAACGAAGAGATTTAAAACAGACTCCTATACATTTTGAAGTTCCTGTATCAAATTCAAAGGCAACATTTTTCACCAACCAACCACAATTCTAAAATGTAGTTTGTTTCACCGTACCTCATTTGTTTGAACAAAAAGATTCATTCCATTGTCTAGAGTACATGCTAGCAAATGTAAGTTGTACTGTTTAAATCATACACTGTTTATTGAAGAAATGCCTTGCCAATACTATTTTGTGAAAAAAAAAGGCTTAGCTCACATGTGCTTCCAATGCTGGATACCCCACAAAAATGCTACATCTAAATCTTTTGGTACTGAGTATCCACTAATGCCTCATATCCAACAGCCTTTAGTTGTAATCATCAACTGCCATCAGTCCCATCTAAAACACGAATAAAACGCTAACCAATACAAGAAACGAATGCATCCTGCCATGAACAATAGTCAATGCCTAAGCAGTTCTAAGACACCAAAAACAATGCTAGAACAAGATGGCAGGGATGACCTTGGTTGAGCAGTTTCTGCACGGTCTCGTTGGGCTCCATGTTGGTCTCCTTCAGCACGGCGTAGATAGCGGCATTGGAGTGGTTCCCGACGACTTCCCTGATGGACTGGATGGTCTTCCGAACCCGAAGCGAGACTACCTGACTTCCGCCGTCGATATTGGAGACCAGCACCATACCGGTCGTGATCGGAAGCGAAGTGAAGCAGTGAAGCGGCTAAGCTAGTGATGAGAAGAAGAAGTGGCGAAGGCGGCGGTGGAGGAGAGTGAGAGAGAAATGGAGGGAGGGTGAATGGCGATCGGAGAGACGAGGCAGGTTTTGAAGAGAGAAAGGGGGGAAGAGGAGAGCGGAGAGGTTGCCCTAGGACGGGGTATTTATATTTATGTTTCTGCTACCCGTTTACAAATAACGCAATTGCTTACTCCTACTATTATTGGGTTTGCAGTTGCGCCTCCTGTGGGACCCAATTCAAGTGTGACAAGTGGTGATTTCGGTATTAAGGAATGCTGTAGTTAGTTCTGTTCTCGCAGGCAGCCATATTTGCTGGTATATATATCGACCAACATAATGCGTGTTGGTGCCCAACCAACACGCATTATCTTGTGATTGGTCGGTCGCCAATCGAGGTCCCTGCCGCAATCGGATGCCGCGGTGGCCGGCTACAAAGGCGCTCAGGCCATGGCTACGATTAAGCAACTCTTTTTATACACTTTGACAACATAAGGGGGGGTAAAAATGGAAAAGAGGAAATTGCTCGCATAATATTTTGTTCTTATATTCCTCAAAAATGATCTGTATAGTTATATTCATATGATACTCAGAAACTTAAAAGGTCTGAATGGTAGATATCCCCGATATTAATTTTCTATGATATACCATAAAAACATAAAAACAATGCATACGAATTCCAGAGTCGATTTGGAAAGGGTGAGTGTACCCATCCCTATCCCTCAAGAAGTGTTTATTTTCATACTCAACCAAAGCAACTGCTTAAGAATATGATTATAAAGCAGCAAATTATTCTTAGCACGAGCAGAATAAGGTTACTCTTAAAAGGTACTGTCATAGAACAAACTCAGGCATTGCAAAATAGACCAACATATAATAGAAAGTAATAAGTCATTTTAAGAAAGCATAACAAGCTAACTCTTCTTAGAGCCTTTATCTCCCTAGAAGATGATCCAAGACTGAAGAAACCAAGTGTAAGATATCATGCTATCGCTATCTCTGGAGCCACCACAGGTGATGGCTTGATGTATTCTTCTTCGTCCTTTGGGGGATGAATGGTGACCAGATCTGGAAGAGGAGTGGTAGGTCCTTGCTTTCCCTTTGGATCCCAGTCCAACATAATCTTGACCTTGATTCCAAGAACACCCTAAACAAGACAACACATAGTTTAGGCCATTTCAGTAATTTTTAGAGGGGAAAACAGAAAAACCAACACAAAAATGCAGCATGGTGAAACATTCTTGGAAGCATAGCATCAAACAATGGAAATGATAGGTATTAAATCATCTAAAGACTACATTCTAAAATGTCGAGAGATTCTACTAGTTTCTTCTGCAAAGTATCAATTTCAAATATAAAATAGTGGCCAACAAAGTATAAGTTTATGCGATGCAAAAAAAAAGTCGATTTCTTGAGCTAACCTGTCTAAGGAGAACATGCCTCACAGCAGAATCAATATATTCATTGACTGGCTGACCAGAAGAAATCATGTATCCATCCTTGAACTTCATTGATTTAGCACGCTGAGCCCTAAGTTTTCCACTTACAATCACCTAAAACAAATTACAGAATAAGTTTCAAAACTTAATAAAAAAAACCTTAATGCATATGTAGGACCAAAACATACCTCACATCCTTTTGCACCACTCTCCATGACAAACCTCAGGACACCATAGCAGGCCCTGGCAACAAGCATGTGCAAATCAGACACCAATTTGATTCCAAAGCTCACTTATGGAATATGTATATCAAAAACACATTTATATCATAAGCTGTGAAGTTCACAGGAATGAACACTAGTCAGATGCTTAGTTCACCACAAGCAACCAAGGACAAATAAACAAAACAGATAACATGCTACAGAGAAGTAAAGATGCACATACATCGTAAGCAACTTATAGAAAGCAACAAATTCCCCGAGAAAACAACAAAACTACTCTGGTCATACATATTCAGTTTAACATACAAAGAGGATGATGTGAGTTTAACTAACCATGGAATTAAGACTCAATGAAGGATCAACATATTATGCATAAGCTTGCGCATGAAGAACTCCAAATATTCACAGACAAGAGAGCACTATAGCATAAAAATGAATCAGGAAGGAAAAACTGAAAGACGGCTATTACCAGAGAATATAACTAATCATGTTAACTCCACAAAAATGCAATAGATGGTAGCATGCTCAACAACACAAAGCTATCAGTTCCATAGATATCAAAGGGAAATCATCAATCAGCACCAATATGACATAACAAAGAATAATGAATGCTCAGAAGCATGGCATGCAAGTTCGAATGGTACCGCCCGATACACATACCGGTCCGACAGCATACCGATACGCAGACTGCCCGCTACCGGACGGAACGTGCTATAATGCTACAGTATTACACTATAGTTGTGCTACAGTACTACAGTAAAAGAGAAATATTTAAAACCGTTCGGTACGCCTTGGTGTACCGCTCGATACACCGATATCATACCGTACCGAGCCAATCTCGAAACACCGATACGGTATGGTATTGCATACCTTGCTGGAAAGAGAGATGATGCCTTGGCCCACATCAAAGTTGCTCCTTTGCAACATAAAGGACCACGGTTTGAGCCACCAAAATAATCTCTGCGCTTGCAACGATAGTCTATATACATCGACTGTTCCTAGACTCCACATTAGAGAAGGAAGTTGCATGCACTAGGCCTCCCTTTGAAATGGTTAATATTGATAACGAAAACATTGCAAAAGCACAAAAAAAAAATCAAAAAGAGAAATTCACAATCAGCCTTTGAGAGGGAAAAAACAAAGAGACAATCGCAATGCTGATTTTGCAGAAACAATCCAATTATACAAAGCAACATAAAACAACTGCCCTATAGCAGATAGAAAAACCATAATGAAATATTGCAAATGTATACAACCGTTTTCTAGTTAGAAAAACCATAATGAAATATTTGCAGAAAAAAATCAACTTGGAGAGGAAATAGAAATACCCAACAATAGTTTGAAAATCAGCCAACAATTTACCGAAACAGGCCAACGAAACAGAGCCTGAGAACTGATGAGAAATGTATGAACAAACTTATTACCAGAAAATTCTGACATCTAAAGAAGTACCAAGGCCCTAGCTACATAAAGGCAATTCAGAATTCATCACATTCCAACAAGGTTACAACTTAGAATCCTATTAGATGAAAGACATCACAGAAACTAACAACCATGGGCACAAAACTGACAATATGCAAACCAGGAAATAAACATGCAATTTCCCATGGCCACATAATGCGCACAAAATAATAATCAGTAGGCCACATAACACAAAATTGCATATAGAGTGGCCTAAACAACCAAGGAACAGAACGAAGATGAGTCAAGTTCATCACAAAACCAAGCAAAATCAGAATTAAAAGAACGTCTACAGTAATTTTCCACACAGATATGCAAGTCTTTTTTAAAGCAAACCTCACTAAAGCAGGAACCTGCTTCTGATAACAAGTATATCAAAGTCATAACTTAATTCAGTACGAAATGAAAATAACAACTACAAGCAAGAGTACACAGTACAAAAGAAATTAACAGAAGAAGGCATCATTAATAATATGTAATATAGATCCCACCTCCTCACAGCAAGACCTCCGAGAAGCTTGTAACGGAGTGATTCGGCCTGAGCAATGGCACACAGACCCCTATTGTTCACCTTCTCGGCGTAGAGCTCAACACCATTCTCAGGAAAGTTGAACCTTTTCTGCACCACCGACGTTAATTCCCTGATCCTCCTGCCCTTCTCACCTAAACCAACACAACAAAAACATCAAACACTACTCACCACTTCTCAAAAGCCTCGAGAACAAACCCCAACAAGCCAAGGGCAGATAAATCACCAAGAACGTTCTGGGTGCGCGTCGCCCGAATGATGATCTCCGTCCGCATGGGCGTAACCCTGACCTCGACGCCTGAATAGCCATCCTCCGCAAGCTCTCTCGTCAGCACCTCGTTCAACTCCGCAAAGAACACCCCATCCGCCACAAACTGTGAAGAAAAGTGGCAGAAATCAAGGAGATTCAGCGACTTAGGAGCGCGAGAGAGAAGAAAAGATTTGGATCGGCAGAGGGACCACCTTACGCTTCTTGCTCATCTGTGTCGCCATCTCGCGCAGAGGATTCGACAGGAGAGAGTTCGCCGCCGCGCCTCCTGTGGGGTAATGGCGGTGGATCACTAAAAACCCTAGAAAGACGAGGGCGCTATGTGGTGGTGCTCTTTCATAGTGATAAGCGGGAGGATCGGACGGCTAAAGAAGGTTTATGGTGGAATGGAGGGTTTAGATGGACTGATGGTTTTTTTGAGATGATCGTAGCCGTAGATTAATAAAAGTAGTAGGTTTTCTGCAAGAAACAAGTAAATTCTAGCATTAAACCCATTTCGTTATTATTAAATATTATAAAATCAGCAAAAGTAATAATAAAATAATTATTTATATCATATTTTCCTTCGATGATTAAAATTTAAGATGGGTAATTCATTTACGTGTATAAACATCATAAAGTTAATCTTTCTTGCATCAATCTTTCAACACAACAAACAAATATGATACTTTTTTTTTCTATTTTAGATTAATTTTTAAGTTTTTAAGTTGCATTTGGTATGCTTTTTAGGCTAATTATGACATATTTCATTCATGAGTAATACATCATAAAGTTTGTCCCACTTACCTCAATCACAAACATATACGATATAAACCATGATTCTATTTTCACTATTTTAATGTAAATATATATATATACATAAAAATATATTATTAATTAAAATACGCGATCGTCAAAGAATTGAAAGTTCAAATACTCAAAGACATCATTTGAATGTAAAAACTTTGTTATGATAATTTACATACATCCCATTGCGAGAAGTTTGGATGAGGTAAAATAGGTTGTCCCAATAAACTTAACATATCATCCTTTAACAAATATTATAATTTCTAGATTATTTAAATATATATCATAAGAACAGTTTTAAGATCTCTTTAAGAACCAAATATTCTTGTTTTAAATATCTCATATTGTTTATTATTTTTATGTATTCTCACTATAAAATATCGAACTAATTAGTATTCTCTAATATTTAGATCCTTATATTTTTAAAAATTATATTAAGATTTTTATATTTATAAATATAAAAAAATATTTAATATTATTTTTTCTCATAATTGAAAATACCGTAGGATTTATTATTAAGCACATACGATATTTTTATCAACTGAATTGATAATATGAGATAAAAATGAGATTAAATATTTTATTTTTATAAATATAAAAATCTTAATATAATTTTTTTTAAAAAAAAAAAAATAAATATCAAAATACTAAAAATAATTTGTTATGTTTTTTATCATACATATTTACACCACCCAATATTTAGACCACCCAAAGCAAATTGGCGTTCGGATGTCCAATAAGAACGTTTAATATCATAATTTTGATGACAGGGTTGTTTCCATCACCATCTCATACTTGTCTGATAAGCAAGCAAAATTCTTTCAAGATTATATCAAATTTGAATTAATATAGTTAAAAACCATATCACATGCAATATTATCAAAATTAAGCACCGAGCCTATTACATGCATGCCAAAAGCAAAGTGCAACTCTAACCCAACTAGTTCAGTAAGACAGCATTCAAAGATGGCCAATGCAAATTTGCAGATATGATGGTGTTTTTTTTCCCCTTTCAGCTGTAATATGATGAACCGAGTATCATTGTAATAATATGGTGTTTTTCTTCCCCTTTCAGCTATTCATCAAAATCAGATATAATTAGGATGATGCCGATAGGATAAAGATCTTAATGACAGGTGACAAAGATACATAAAAAAGATCATTAGGATAATATCATGCTACATTGTAGTAACCTGGTTTTGCATTAAGCGTACATAATATTTAACTGACTTCTGACAGATTTAACAATCCCATAAGCATTCAACAAGAACATATCTGGTACAACTGTCAACGGACAGAAGAAAAGAAGTGATATTAAGTTCTGGCGACTGGCTCGAGAGCTTCAATCATGACCACGCTATTTCCTCGAATGACCTAAAGAGAAAAATGTTATCAAAATCTTTAAGAAAGACTAGGAAAAGAAAACGACTCAAGTTAAAAATTAACAAATATGATAGAAGCTTTCCACTTGAGCAGAGAGTGAAAATGATCAATGTGTATATTCTTAACCCTGAGAGTAAAGACTAATATTGTAAGATGAACTCACCACCATGCCAATATCGTTCTTCTCATTGCTATTCACCTCCACTGTATTGTCAACAACAAGGTTCATAAATTGATCAAACCCACGGAGAGTGCCAACCACAACTCGGTTACCATTCAATTTTACTGCAAATATAAGAGGTAATTTATATCAGTATATTCTTCATAGGCAAACCATAGAGTGGGACTACAGAGATAAGATTCATGCATCACAAATATTGGTTGGTTCAAATCACAATCAGAATTTATACAAGTAATGATGAAAAGTAGGATTATGAACCCATCATATCGAGAGAAAACGGGAGTAATGAGTTAAATATAATTTATTAATGGAATGTATAATTTAAAGCACATGGGACTTGACCAGTTGGCAGCTTTGGTTAAGTTACACCACAGTCTTACAACCAGATCCTGACCCATTGCTCAGTTTCTTAACAATACCCAACTGAACTAACACTAATACCAAGCTCATTTCTAGAACATCTTCATTGTCTACCAATTTGCTAAAGGAATTCCATTATTGTTAAACTAATAATGCAGATGTTCCATCTGCTCCAGGACTTACTAATTACATTATTGCTTCTGATTAAGGGTCACCTCCCAGTAACCTGTGCACAATAATCTACAAAGAAGGCCAACCTCTTGGTCTTATAGTTATCAGAAACTCCAGTCGCCAAGCAGTTGTCCTCTTGATACTTAAATTTATCAACAGTGGATATTTGGCTAGTGGGATTTTTTTTTTCCAGAAAGCAGGAAACCTTTAACAAATACATTGAAAATATATGTTCGACAAGATTCCCAAAAAGTGACACCCACATCTCGAAAACCTTCTGCAATGGTTGTGGTCTACAATTTTCTGGGAACAAGATTTTCCCAATCAAATTTCGGAATTGGTATTTATTTAACTTGCTGATGCAACCTAGTAACAGAACTAACCATGGTTATTATCCCAACTAAATATCAGAATTGGAATTTCCTATAGTAACAGAAGTACCCATGGTTATTATCCATAGAGGGCACACAAATTATTGCTCTCTTAAAAACTGATGTGTTATGACAAATATCCACATAATCAGCATGGATCACTATCCACCATAGCTGGAGAAACAATGGGCAACCCCCATACATGGATAGATGGCTCTATCATGTTAGGACAGCTAAATGTATGTGCCATAAGACCGATTATGCACTAAAAAAACTCAATAAGAATTAAGCATCAATGTCAAAGATGAAGCAGAAATTGATGACTTATAATAAGTTTATGCATCAAAAGATGAAAGGCACTCCTGCTAAGATAGATGATGAACTTGATAAGACAAGTGGTCCTCCATTGCACAGGAAATATTTCAACCTTGGAACAATTTGCTACAAAGTACTAACAATCGGAGGACATTATGATTACAGTGACAATAATTGAGCAGATCTTTGTGAAATGTGAATCAGCCAATCCAGTTTCAAAATACTTTTACAAAAAGAGTTTCATAAATTCAGCACTTCATGAAGGCTAGGGCACAGAATCCAAGAAACAAACACGATTCTGTCTACAGGAAACCCTTCATGGTGTTCAGATAAATATTAGATCTGAATCAAGAATATATTCCAGTGTTTTTGGCTGAAATGACAACCTAGTTATCTTGACAACATTTCCTTTATTAGGTCCTTTTCACAAGATTATTTTTATGTTCTTTATTCGTCAGTAAAAACTATTAAGATATACTTTATATTGGAAAAGTGTCCAACTCAAACGAATTAGTTGGTTGTTTAAATGCTTTTGTTTTAGCAGCTATAACATATTTTATGTGCAACTTTCTTACACAAATAAGTAAGAGAAAAGTAGTGAACCATTTCTTTCTACATACATTTGTCTTCTTTCACCTCAGACTCTCACTTTTACATCTAATCTTTAATTTCATATATATGTTATGTATTCATCTATGTTCTACATCATTTTTTTGTGCAACTCAAAGTGTCAAAGTATACTCTTTATTCGTCAGTAAAAACTCAACTATTAAGATAAAGTTACTATTGGAAATGTGGCCAACTCAAAGGAATTAGCTGGTAGTTTAAATGTTCTGTTTTAGCAGCTATAACATATCTTATGTGCAACGTTCTTACACAAATAAGTAAAGAGAAAAGTAGTGAGCAATTTCTTTCTACATAAATTTGTCTCCTTTCACCTCATACTCTCTCTTTTACATCTAATCTTTTTTTTTTTTTTTGCAATTGTCATCAACCCAACTCCTAATTTATCTGATCTTTCCTACAAAATAGCAAAATTTGCTAGTCATAATACGAAAGCTTAAACACATTAACATATTCAGATGCAGGTCTTCGTGTAACAAGTATCCCCAAGTTATAATTGAAATCCATCAACTGGCTGAGCAAAGTAGATCCACTGGGAACCACAAAAATAATGGACAATTTCGGAATAAAATATTGAATATCAATGATGATGACAGAAATGAAACATCTGAAAAAACATGGGCAGATATGTGCAATCAATCAGAAAGATTAGAAATGAATGGGAGATGAAACAGAAGTGGACATTGACATTTTCAGTTGAAAAAGGCCAAGCAAGTTAGTCTACAAAGCTGGAAGGCAATTAAACAATGGAAAAATAAGTTTGTAGGTAGGACATACATTGAGAGGCTACATACTGAGAATAATACGAAAAGATACATATTAAATTTAAGATGTGTATGTAGAATATCACCATTATATAGGTTTTTTGTCACTTCAATGGGCCTAGACATTTGTGTCTACCCAAGTGTGTAAGGATTCCATGACATGAGAGTACCACCTACACCAGATGGATACTGCATTTTTTTTAATCCAGGATCTTAAAAATGTATTGTTATATATTTTTTAATCCAGGATCTTTTGTACACTTGATTGAATCTGATTTTTTATATTGTGCAGTACATTATAGTTGCTCAGTGTAAGTCTACTACAAATACAACAAATTGCATTTTAGTAAAACAGAACCGTGTTGATGCTCTCAAAAAACTTTTAACAAGAGAAAAATGATCATATAAGATAAAATAACCTTAAAGGACTCCAAGAAAATTTAACCACCAATTACTTTCCCATGAAGCTTGTGAAACTACCAACAATATCAATAGGTTTCTTCGATCTCATCGTTTACCCTTTCCCTCACAATAACGTACCCCACAAGTAACATATTCATATCCAAATGGTTCAGCTTAGCTTTATTTCTAATGTCAGTTCAGTAATATACATATGCAAGTTGTACTTCGTAAAGTCTAATAATTTCATGATATAAAACCATGAACCGGGAGTTTTTTTAGTCTGCGTCGAGCGCGATAAGATCAAAGCCAAAGGCACGATTTTTACCAACATAAGGGCAAAACTAAAAGCGAAATCAGACGGTAAAGGCTGAAAGGCACTTACTTTGTAGCTTCTTGTCCATGTACCTGAAGCGACAACAAGGCATCGAAAGAAAACAATAATCAGAAGGGGATCAGCAAAAGCAAAGTGGAAACTTGCGAAAATATAGATATTTGCAGACAGAAAGATAGAGAGACGACTCACTTCTTGAGATCTGGGGGTTGACCCGATCGGCTCATTGCGACGTGAAGAGGGGAATGGATCGGTGGGTCTCCAAGCACGTATCTCTCGACAGCTCGAGAACCCTAAACCCTAAATATCCGCGGCGAGAAGCACGACCGTATTTATCGGTCGTAGAAACAATGGGAATGCCTAAAGGTTTGCCCACGAGAAAGGAAACCTTCTTATGCGTACCAACCCATATCATTTCCTCTGCGACTCAGCCTCTCAATCGAAAGACTTGTCACGAATCTTGATGAATTTTTAGGGCCAGATTTTATTAAGTGGCTGATACTTCCTTTGCGCCGCGGCCTCTCATTAAGAAAATAATCAAAAGACTTGTCACGATTCTTGATGTATTTTTAAGGGCCGGATTATCAGATGGCGAATCAAGAGACTTCTATCACGACACCAAAGCCGTGGTCAAAATTGTTGACCGAAATATATTTCGAATTCTAGATGGAAAACGAAAGATATTATTTATTTATTTATTATAAGAAAAAAGTATATTGTTTTCCCTACCACGTGCTCTCTTACACCCTTGAACGCGGGACCCACAGGTCGTGTCTCTCGATCCCATGTATGGGTCCCACCTTTGAAGTTTTTTTAGAGGTCATAGGGTTTATGAAAAGTTATTTTTGACACAGAATAAGTATTGTTTTAATTTGGGCAGAAAATTCATGCTTAGCAACTTTAAATTGACAAATCTTATTAGGCACATAAATGAAGCCAAATTAGGTATACTTGCAGAGCAGAGGGAAGATAAAAGGAAGGTTGCTTCAAAATCATCCATGTCAATTTATCTTTTATTCTTAATTATTGATTTGATTTGATCTTTTAATCTTCAAAAGTCCCCTCTCCTTTAATTCTTCACCAACTTTCATACAAACTCATAACATTATAATGAATGAATTTAACGGCAGGACAAAGTAAATCCCTGCCTTTATGATTTGGGAGCAAAACCATTTGGATTTAGTAACAACAACAACAACAACCTGTAATATCCCAACTATTTAGGCTGTAATCATCTGAGTTCTACATTAGATGGAAAAAAGATGGAACCAAATCATTTGGATCGAAAACGAAAACATAATCTATGAGCCATTTGATTTCCTAAAACATATGATATCCAAATTATTAGAAAGAAAGCAATTCATCTTTTTTTCTCACCCAGGTTATGGATCAAAGTTGAGCAGAAAGGATCTCATTCCATGAGTCCAGAAACACATGGGAGGCACCAATGCAAGTTGCACTAATTGATACTTTACTGCATACCTCAGTAGTAGGGATGTATCAATGGTTTCCAAAAGCTCAATCCTTGTTCCATTCAGCAACTGCATCAATCAAGGCAAGCTGTGAAACCAAACTTCCACTTGCAAGATATCTAGGCTTATATCTCAATCATAGTTAGTAAAATTCAGTTGGATTAATTAATAAACCAAACCGATAGAAGGTCCTGTTCTCGATTTTTCTAGATATGACCACCATCCGATTTGCATTTTATAACTATGATCACAAGTGCCTAAGAAATTCCACTCTCAATCAAAGAAATGACCTGCCACAGGATTTCAGACATGAATGTTGAGGCAGATAAACCACTTGCAAGCTTTTGGGGTACTCAGACATACATGAGAGGTTTTGTATGTTTTAGAGAGTTGTCATGAAGATTATCAACATAGTTGTAGGAGGCAGATTAGATTAGATATGTGAAAGGGAGAGATAGACAAGATAAAACAATATAACATTATCTTGATAACTTAAAATTACCATATGATGTTTATAAATGCTCATAGTTAATCCATCAAGTTCACATATATATATACAAATGGTCACAATCAATTTACGGATGGGACCTCAATTCTGATAGGTTTTTGAGTATCTAAAGCTTAAAAAGGCTCAGGTGTCACAAAGAGAGACAATAATCAACCTAATGAGATAAACCAGCATGAAGCAAGAAAAAGAATTGCATAAGTGCACAAATTTTACAAATGAAGGCCCTGAAAATAATAAATGTACAAGCAAAGAGATTATTTCCATGCATAAAATATTCATAAGATGTTTACAGTATTTTAAAAAGTGCTAGGCGCTGATGTCCTAAAACGCTCAAGGCGCTACGCGCCCACTCGAGCAAAACGAGATGCTTCAAAATATTAAAATATAAAATATATATTTTAATCATAACCAATGGTAAACAATTCCGAAGAGGGGATTAACCAATGTAAACATATTAACCAATGCTAAACAACTTTAAAGTTTAATAAGGGACTAAGAACAGTTCTAAAGAGTGATTAACGCTAAACAACTTTAAAGAGGCGAGGAGGAATAATCAACCTATGGAGGAAAGTGAGATAGGAGAGGGTGACGATGGAGGAAGCTTCCGACGAAGGCAACGACGACAGAGAAAGCTTCGGACGAAGGCAACGTCGACAATGGAAGCTTCGGACGATGGCGTCGATAACAAAGGGAGCTGTGCACGAAGGCACACTAGGCAACGGACCAGAGGTGGGTTGGGCGATGAGGTAGGGTTTAGGGTTTCACTAGGTTGAGCATGCCGCGACGCACGCGTGGGGGGACGACGGGGTAGGGGTGGTGGTGGTTAGTGTGAAGGTTTAGTTGGTTCGATTGAACGAACTTGGCCTGTTCAATCAAGTCAGGCAGGAGCTCAGGTCACAATTCACTTAGGCACTCACCCGAGGCGCCTAGCGCCTGGGCTCAAGTGAACACCTAGCCAGCACATCAATGAAGAACGTCACCCAAAAACTATGCGAAGTACTTGGACGCTCAAGTGAACGCCTAGCTAGCACATCAATGAAGCGCGTCACCCGGTAGCACATCAATGAAGCGCGTCACCCGGAAGCTATACGAAGTGCTTGGACCTCGCCTTGCCTCGCCTCACCAGAGCGTCCGAGCGCCTATTAAAAACACTAGATGTTTAATAGAGAAATGTTTGGTCTATAGTTTTTGGTGCATTTGGCTAAATACTAAAGGCAATATTAATATTTTCTCAAACTATTATATTTTGATAGCTATTTCAGGGTGAATGTGAGGTGCAGCTGCGGCTAGATATGAACAGTAGAGCTTCTCTTCATGAACGTAGGTTCCTACTTGTCATTATGTATCCTAATCTACTCTAAAAGCTTTTTGATCATAACCAATAGATAGATAACTATAAGAATCTGGTTGAAACAACTTTACTATAATTTACATGCTCTGTGGGTCATCCCATCAACAGGGAAAAAAAAACCTAATGGTTGCCCCAGAATAGTCCAGCGTTCATTTGTCACAATAAGGAAAAGAAAGTCTCATTCAGTAGAGAGAAAATTATTGTACATGACCGAGAAAAGTTGAAATCTTAAAACACTACAAGCTCAGTCCCAGATGCTGAAGCAAAAAACAAATAACTGGAGAACCAACATATTTAAGGTGATTGATAGCTCAGAAATGTGACGTCTACAATATGTCAATGAAAATAACCAAGAACCTGACCACCAACATTCTGCCTGATAGCTTCCTCATGATCCAAGACACCATTAGGTGTTGTGATTACAACATATCCCCACTGCAAATGAATAAAATAAGTCAACAATGCTAATCATTCTTTATAGCTAAAAAGGAAAACAAGTACATATCAATAAGGAAATTTTGGTCTAGGATAATTGAATTTTGTGGAGTTTTAGTTCTGATCTATATCATATTACTCTTCCTGAGAAAGATACGTCTTACTAACCGTAGATTTGGGCTACCGGAATTTGTAAGTCGAATCCAACAACAATTTTTTGCATCTCAATGTATTCATTATACTATGGAGGAGAAAAGGTTGCACCTTAGACTAGAGTTCTTCGAAAGCAGTAACATCAACTCAAAATTTCAGGATGTCTAAAGAAAATGAACAAGCAAGCATCTTGTATTTTCATTATATAGCTGTTCCAAAATAATCCCAATGACTCGAAAAGCTATAGTATCGTTAAGTACAAAGCATATCAATTTTTCTACAGTAAATTAGAACTTGCTGAGAAAAGAAACATATGCGCAACATTGTAAGAGAATGGATGAATACATTTAGAAAACATTAGATACCTAACAAATGGAAATCCAAACCACTTACAAAAGATATTAAGCATAGTTCACAGTTTGTCAGATTTCAACACAATGCACTCAACTTATATTGCTATCTTAGGCCGGCCTAATTTTGATTGGACTCTTGGTTTTATAGGTAGAATTTGATCAAAATCAGCTAGATTTGATTAAGATGACTGGAGTTGGCTAACAGGAAGGAGTTCAGCTCTACTAGTCTGATCTGATTCGCAGCAAGCCTTTTGATGGATCAAGAAATCAACACATTTTCCTTGGTCCATCCGCACCATCCTCCAAGATGTGTTATGATTCTCAGCATGTGATTTCATGGATCAAGAGATAAACACATATTTCTTGGTCCATTCACTCCATCCTCCAAGGCGTCTTATTTTTGTCTAACTCCTTTTCCTATATTAACTGGAGTTACTTCCCTAGGAGGCTCAATGATGCTGCTCAATTTTTGGCTAACTTTGGTAGGTCTAGGGGCCTTCTTACTTGAGTTGGGAATCTGACTTCCCAACAGATTTTTTGTACAAACTCTTACATTGTTTTTGATCCCTAGCTGTGGAATGGAGTGATTTGATTCCTTCTGGGGAAAAAAAAAGGAGTTGGCTAGATTTGGCCAATGCTAGACAATTTGTCAATGCCAGAGGAAGAAAAAGAAGAAGAGATGCAATAAGGAGGATCTGAAAGAAATCCATTATGAAGAAAAGAAAAACGAAGAAACTTGTGATTATGAACATGAAACAAAGAAGACATTGCTACTATTGTGTTTTTTTTGTTCAGCCATCATAAACTATTTGCCCTAATTGTTGCTATATTAATTGTTTGCTGTCACTTTCAAAAAAGAGGAAAGGATATAGAGAAGAAATAAGAGAACAAAGAGTAGTAGCACTTTGCTAGAAATCATAGGCCTCCTGCAGTTCTCTGCTATTTGTTCTGTTATGTGTTTCTTTGTAGATCTAATTCTTCATTACAGGCCAAGCATAAAATTCACTGAAATGATTCAAGTGCCAGATAGAAAAGTTTTGCAGATTAGATTACATGATAAGAAACTAAACACCTTAAGTTTTAAATATTATCATATGAAAGGACCTGCATAATAACTTATGAACTATATTTACTATTTACAGGGCAGATATGTGAGGAAAAACAGACCTGGCGTGTCGGAAGCATGCGCAATCTGTAGTCTTCTATGTTTCTAGACTTGAGGTCCTGTCTGTATGTAAGGGCTTTGCAATCATTTATCCTTCCTTGCAGTTCCACAGTGATCCTTCCCACTCTATGTGGATCAAAAACCTGAAAGTCTTTAATATATCCTGCAAAATATTTTATCAGCCTCCTAAATAGATATTATATTTTGATAAGAACAATTCCCTTTTCTAAAGGCAAAAAAATAGCTTATGTAATACAAAGAATGCAAGTGAAATAATACCAATGCTACCAAATGATATCTCACGTCAGATATCTAACATGGCTCAAGAATAATGATTTCGACAATTTGCAACATCAATTAAATTTTTCTCACAATTCATATTTCATTATCATCCATAAGTCAAAAGATCTAGATACACAAGAAAGAAGGTAAATCTTTTTTTACTTCTTTATTTTCTCTGCTATAAACCTGAATAGAGAAAAAGAGACTTGTTTTGTCTTTCACTTGAGCCTCTTACTTTCCTTTTATCTCCTCCAGCACCTACTGAAATAGTTGAAAATTCTAAATGGATAGCCTTGACTCGTCTTATAATCCATTCACACTCAATAACAAACGCAGAATAAGCAAACTCTGATCATAAAAGGAAAAAAAATACATTTTTATTTAAGGGAGCAAAAAAGAAGCCAACTTTGAAGCATTTCCAAGAAAAAAACAAAAAATTGCGAACCCAAGAAATCCAACGAGGATGAAGCATGAATGGGAAAAACACCCAAGAGCGAGAGAGCAAGAGAAGAGAGAGGAGCGACCTCGATCTTTCATGATCCTCAGGAAGGAGACGATGACGGAGGAAATGGGCTGGAGGGTGGCGGTGGCCTTCCCCCTCCTCTCCGCGTTCACTATCGTGCGGAGCGCATCGTTCAGAATCCTTCGGCCCATCTCTCCCTATCTCCACCACCAACGACAACAAGCACAGGCGGAGAACAGATTAGAACACAACTCACACATCGAAAGCCGCCGATCGAAACGAGGGTTTTGGTTGATGCAAACTCGCTCGACCGGTTCAACTCGAGCCGGTTTTCGTCATGAACACGTTGGTTTGGGTCGGGTTGGGTAAGCAAGTGATTTGACATATATATCCCTTTACATCTACAAATTTACATATTTGCCTTTGTAGTCCATTAGCTATTATTATAAGTTAACTGTTAGATGAAACTCTAATACAAATTATACCAAAAAGTAGAGATATTCTATGAATTTAGTATTTGTATGACTTCTTTAATTTAGATAAAACCAATGTAATTATAATTAAATTGAATAATCTGTATTTTTTGGATGGAAGTCAATTACAGAGACAACTTAATATTTAAAGGATACATATATAATATATTGGAATTAATACTGACAAAACATTGATTGGAGCTAAGTATGGATTTGAACAAAAAGAGAGCCGTTAATGATAGTTTGAGAAAAGAGTCCATTTAAGTAATTTTACTACTACAGGGGCTTTTATGACAAATCGACAAGAAAATGATCCCACCATTGGTTGGGTTCTACGACTCCTCCGGTGTCATCACCGAAATCTCAGTCGGTGGAGCAGATCTCTTCCTCTTCCCTGAACACAACGAGCAATTGCTTCCTGGTGATGTCTCTGCACCTGAGGCAGCAGCAGCAGCCGCAGCCGCCACCGCCGCCTTCGGTCGATCCCTACCCGCTCTCGCCCCGCGCTGCTGTCTACGGCATGCCGCACCGCCCCATGTCGTCCTTCCTCCTTGGCCGCGCCGGCCTCCTCGCCGTCCTCTCCCTCCTCGTCCTCCTCGGCGTCTTCCTCCCCTGGTCCGGCCCCATGGCCGCCCTCTTCTCCTCCTCCTCCTCCTCCCACCTCGGCGACTCCCACGGATCCCTCTCCCGGTGGAAAGACTACACTTTGGCTCAGGCCGCGGCCTTCGCCGCCCGGAACGGCACCGTCGTCGTCTGCGCCGTCAGCTGGCCCTACCTACCCTTCTTGAACAACTGGCTCATCAGCGTCGCCCGGCAGAAACGCCAGGACCAGGTGATCGTCATCGCAGAGGACTACGCCACGCTGTACGAGGTCAACCGGAGGTGGCCTGGACACGCCGTCCTTGTCCCGCCCGCTCCCGACTCCCAGACCGCCCATAAGTTTGGATCTCAGGTGCTCGTCTGGATGTCTCATTGTTGCTTCCACAGATCGTGTCTCCAATTCTACACTGCTGATGTTGCTGCAATGTTACTGAGGATTGAGTTGGTCGACAGGGGTTCTTCAATTTTACATCCCGCAGGCCTCGCCATTTGCTACACATTCTGGAGTTGGGATACAGTGTGATGTACAATGATGTGGATATGTTGTGGTTGTCGGATCCTTTCCCTTATCTGAAGGGGAAACACGACGTCTACTTCACCGATGATATGGCTGCTGTAAGTGTTGTGCTATGTTAGCAGTCAGAGGAAAAAGAGGAAAAGTTTGGATTTTTGTTGCAGATCAGATCACTTAGGGTGGAATAGTAATGTGTTATTTGATGTTCTTCGGAATTGTTGATCCTTCTGTGCAAACAGGTGAAGCCTCTAAATCACCCTCATGATTTGCCGCCTCCAGGGAAGAAGGGGCGCACGTATATATGCAGCTGCATGATTTTTCTCCGTCCTACGAGAGGAGCAAAGGAGGTGATGAGAAGCTGGATCGAAGAACTTCAGAATCAACCATGGTCTGTAAAAAGGAAATCGAACGACCAGCCTGCCTTCAACTGGGCTCTCAACAAAACTGCTGGGCAGGTGATTTATCTGATTCCATATCTTTTGTTGATCAGGAACTAAAATTTCAAGTATCTTATTTGTTTTCCATACAGTAGCCACTACTATATTTGGCTTATAGATAAAATATTGCAACCTGACTTTTTATGGTATTTCTGTGGAAACGGCATATCGAACTTACAGTATTTTCATTTTTTTTGTTTAATTGACATGAATTAATTCATAAATGAGTAAACAAGGGATGCATGAAGCTCACATGCATACTATATTTTTTTAGTTGCCTGTAAAAATTAGTGCAAGTATAGAATGTAAAGATCTGTTAAAAAAGAAGCAATGTGGTACTGAGTAATGATTTAATAAGATAGAACATAAATCATATAAGTGTGTTGAAGTAAGATGGCATGTATTCACTCGAGTTCACAAGGAGATTCTGTTGTTAAAACTATCGATGATTAGAAATTTGGGAGCGTGTTAACAAGATTCCATTATTACAGGTTTACTTATATACACGATATAATTTTAGTGTTCTTTTAACATGTTACATTGTTGGAATCTCATACGGTGCCACTTGAAGATTTGATGAAGGATAACCATAAGTTTTAGACAAGTTTAAAGGAGGCCATTTAATAATTTAAAAATGGTGAACAACTCCATGTTAGATATCCCATGGGATATGGCCGATAACAATAGAGAATACGACGATGCTTGTATTGATGAAACATGCAAGTTTTGGAGTAAATGATGGGAAAAGATTAAAATAGCTGCCTTTAATTGAATGTCTGTACATAAATCTAGTAACTTAAAACTGAAATTTAATCTGCTTGTGATCATATGCTAGAAGTGATGTATGCATGAGGGAAATTATGCTTCTTCTTTTCTTGTGAAGGTAAGTGAGCCTTGATCTTGTGTGGATATGAAATTGGAAGGGGAAGGAAAAGTGGAGAAACATGACTGGAAGCCCATTATATGGAATTGAGAAAGAAAGGAGAATGGATGACGACTGATCAATGATAAGTAGAATGATTTGGTTTAGGTTCAGATTCTTTGGTAATTTTCCTCTTGATTCAGGTTTAGATAATGGTAAGTCGAAGGCCTTGCACGAAGGAATTTGATTATGCTTTAGAACTCTTAACTCTATCTTCTATGGTCCCACACCTTGAGTCACAAATTTCCACTTCACATCAGAGTTCAAAACGAATTCCGATAAATTGGTTGTTCACAGTGTACTCGGTACTACAAGTCAAATCAAACCATGCCATTCATTTCTTCTCTGCTGAATGTAGTAGGTAAAAGAAAATTTTCTTTGAACCATTTATTTCCAGTTCAACATCTTAAAATTTGGAAACTATTATTATTAATGTGGATTCCTGTTCAACATGCATTGGCAAACTATATCTTGTGCCTGTGTGCTGTTTTCTCCTGTTGATTGCATCTGATGAATGAGAAAAAAGTTAGTCATTTTGATTCTCTGTTCCCTATATGCATATGATGATTGGATCAACAGAAAATTTCTCTGTAGTCCTTTTTTCTGTTGAAGGTTTCTCCTACTCGGATATGTACTATGATTAGTGATTGTTATATCCTTGAGTTCACTGTACCTTATATTTCTTATTGTTTACTCTGATCTTTATTTTTACAAGTCCTCTTGGCCTTTCTTTAACCCTATCATATACCTCGATACTTAAATATGTTAATAGTTGTGATCTGTGACTAAGAAAATCTTTTGGCACCTCTATATTTCCTATTTCTTTTTCGCCGAGTAGCTTTTATCAAGTCTATGACGTTAATTTCTGAGATATACAACTGCAGGTGGATCTGTATTTGCTACCTCAAGCTGCATTTCCATCAGGGGGTTTGTATTTCAAGAATGAGAGCTGGGTCAAGGAAACCAAAGGGATGAATGTTATTATTCATAACAACTACATTACTGGTTTCGACAAGAAAATAAAGCGTTTCAAAGATTATGGACTTTGGTTGGTGGATGATCATAGCCATGAGTCACCACTTGGTCAAATATAAGCAAGCACCAAATGAGATTTCATGTTGGACATTACGGCCACACGGTTGGGAAGCTGTGGCTTTCGCCCTTATCGGATAAAGAGGAGGCCACCTGGTGGTGGTGTTGAAAGCCTGACCAAGATGCAACTGTGTTCTGCGAACGTGTGCTTTCTCCCATCGCCACTCTCTCTCTCTCTCTCTCTCTCTCTCTCTCTCTTGTTAACAATCTCAGTTATCCTAAAAAAATTGCAATTGAATGTTGCATTTCATGTAAACTTCTTTTCTTGTTAAAAGATGGAATCATTGAACTATTCTTCTGCTCATCAAAGTGAAAATCTTTCACAGTTCTTTTCAGGGTTTACTAGATTTTGAGTGTGTTAACTTGCTCCCTGTTGGTTGTAATAGCTTCCTTATTGTTAAAAGAATTACATATGGTTAAAAGAGTCTTTAGAGGAACAAACTATGGATGCAAACACATCCAACCATAGCATCTGTAGATGTTAAGCAGAAAACTAGGATTGCAGAGTAAAAGGCTAGTTAATGGTTGGACATTTATGTTGGTTTGTCTTCAACTAGCTCTTTTTACAAATGAATAATTGGGAATATCCTGGTAGAGAAGAAAGAAAGTTTTAATGTGATGTTTTTGCATTTCTATCTTCCATTTAAGACATTTTTTATTGACATATAATCACATCCAAAAGAAACCTTTTTTTTCCCAATAATGTTGCAAACATACTTGCAACATATAAAAACAACATCAAACCACGACCTGTCAAATAAAGAATTCTCTTGGATTATGAAGTATGCTTTGCTTAATACCTTTGACAAAAAAAAATGGGGCTCCCTACCCATGCAAGCCAAAAGCGAATCCACCAGCATTATTAACGAAAATCTATGATCTAGATTGGGAGAAGTCCATGATCAGATATTTACAACAAATAACAGAATAAAGAGCAAAAGGAAGGATTTTAGTACAACATATTTTCAATGCTTAAGGAAATACATGCAGAACAAATCATGTAGTAAGAGGAGGCCAGGTTGCCCCCATAAAGCTACACACCAGCTATCTTGTTATGTTCTTCATTTTACCAAAAGAGAAGGGAGTCGATATCTCAAACATCATATGAAGTTGTAAAAGGAGGAATCATTTCAACGGTTTCAGCCCAAGAGAAGCTCGTAACCTATTGGCCTCAGCGATTTCAGGATCTGGGTGATCAGTACCGTCGCTCTTCTTCTCTTTCTTTTCCTTTTTCTTCTTGGGCTCATCTCTGGTGCTGCCATCATCCTCTGGCCGCCTCCGTGGGCTAACACTGCCACGAGTTCGCCTCTTGCGATGATCTCCATCTTCATGATCCCTGTCTCGGCGGTCCCTGCTCCTGCTCCTTGAACGGCTCCTTCGCCTTCCTCGTTCCCTGTCTCTTCTTTCCCGCTCTCGTCCTTCCCTGTCCCTTTCTCTCTCCCTTTCACGACCATAGTCCCTGTCATCTCTAAGCCGATGTCGGTCTCTCTCCCTATCCCTATCCCTATCCCTATCCTTGTCCCTGTCCCTTTCTCTATCTCTGTCACGATCTCTATCTCGATCTCTTTCACGTCCTCTACCATAGTCCCGTTCATAGTCCCTATCCCTATCAGAGGAAAGAGTTGATCAAGACATCATATATTATTCAACAAATTATTGGCAACCAGCACAAATATCAGTAAGATAAGCCGCACAGAACAAGCAGGATTACTAGAATGTGCTAATTGGTACAATCACAAATACTGACTTGAAGGATATAAGAGAGAACCCTTTTGTTATATTCTAAACTCAGATGTTGAGCGAACCAGCAAGCAGGTGTGTCACACGGTAGGTAGGATACAGACAGGATCCCATCAGGGGGCATTTCAGTGCAACTGTGGAAGTAACCAGCAATCAAAGAAAAACCTAAATATGCAACAATCCAAACGGTTTAACCAGAAGACAATCCAGCAACAATTTTTCCAGTCATGATTTTTGGTCTTCTTCAAGTATACTTCTACAATATTAAATCACTACAAACATGACTATGGTTTCATCTGTAAATCAATATTATGCTGCAAATGATAATGCATGATATTTATTTTTTGTATATTTTAATGGACAGTCAAGTTGTGGAAAAGAATATTTCAATCAGCTTAACAATGTCTTGTTGCTGTAAATCAGACATCAGAAGATTATTTCAGAGCCCAATTGTAGATGTAGTTGCTGAAAAATTAAGGAACAAAGTGTTAGGGAGGGAAAACAAGAATACATTGTGATGAATGAATGACCACAGAACATGGTCCCATTTGGCAGTTGCACAGGAAAATTTTTACCTAGCCACCGCACCACTCTATTGTGTCCTTGATAAAAAGCAGTGTGTGATAATTAGCATATTTCTCATTATTATTTTCTTGAAAATTTTGATGAAGCTTTTGAAAGAGCTCTGTGTGTTATTCAACAAGAATTGGTCAAGACTTGATGGGTTATAAGATCTTCAGGCTACAATTAGCCTTGTCATAAGAATCCTTTACCTAGAGTACAACATGCATCAATTAGACAGAGAAATTTGAGATGCTACAATTCAACGACAGAAAGGTAAAAGAATCCATCTTCAGTAGCATAAGGTTTATGGTTTTTAGATTGTACTTGTTCGACCCATCATACTTCTCACTGCACACTATCAGTACAGAGAAACCTGGCAGGGTCATCGCTGATCACTTTAGGAAGCTGTTTGATCTACCCATGGCTTTGAGTTCTAGTGCCATGATAACAAGTCGATGTTGCAGATCGGAAAAGTACTAAAATAGAAGCTTCCACTACCTTCACTAGATCAAAATTAAATATATATAAAACATATCAGTAAGCCAGCCCCAGTGGAACTCCCCTAAACATCATCTAATTCTATCAGAATACTAACTAATGCTTGAACTCTCAAAATAAATCCAACATATAACAGCAAATGGAAGCCAAACACACAATCGATCAAAGGTGCATATTGAACAGTAAAAATTTACAAAATATAACAAATTTTATTGTACTGGTTATAAATGTTAAAGCTAAATCATAGGCTCTGATGGAAAGAGTTAGCTCATCCAAAATGTCATGATGCTTATCTCCTGTAATTCATGAACTACATCACCAAGAATCTTTATGCACAAACATTTTCGAGAAGAAATAATCAGAACTTCTATCATAAAGCAGAAGACTGAACAAGTAATCTTCACCATATAACAAGAGAGAATGTGTGCAAATAACAGACGCCATACCAAGTTTTCATAGGAAAAAGAGAGTAAAATCAAGCTGTTAACAAAAAATAACAGGAAAACTATAATGTAATAATGCATAATGCATTAAAAAAATGGTCATGTGTATGTAACAATGCATGACTAGACATTTCCCTGAATGCACATAACTGGTACATTCTTCAAAGAATTCGATAGACGTATGCAATCTCTGGTTAACTATAACCTTTTCAGGATTTTGTTTTTTCTAAAATTTTTAATTACTTTAGACAACTAGAAACATAAAACTTTATGGTATCCAAAAGCAACCAACATCCTCAAAATTTGTTCTCTCTGAAATGATATAGGTATTATAGGCCTAAATGTATTTATCCAGAACAGTGTCTACTGTATTTTTCTAGAAACTTTCTAAGAATGTGGATTGGTATTACTGGCAAAGCAACCAAATCGCTATGGGCTAATCAACAGTATACAATTTCAATGGTCCCACCAATTTAATCCGTACAAGTCCTTCCCAACCATACAAAACCTTGAAGATTAAGATGGAAAAACTCGGTAAAAACTAGGAAAGTTGTGCATATCAAAAGAATAATGAAGTTCCAAACAAAACAACCTGAGATCCCTTAGAAACAAAATCAATGATAAGAATTGCAGCATAAGCTGTTATACTACTTCAGCTCATAACAAGCGAAAAATCCAGGCATTAAAAGTCAGATACCAAAGTTGTTACTTTCCCTTATTTGGATTTCTCTGGTTGGTACTCTTGAATGCTATATCAAAACATGCTCTTGCAAAAAAAAATGGATAAGCCATGCATTCATTAAATGCATCAAGGTATCATAATTATCAGAGAATAATAATAACACCAAAATTTTAAAAATTTCTCTGTTTGAAAAAATAATTAAAACTGAGGTGATGATGTAAATAATCACGAGTAAGACAGTTTTATGCAGTATACTGTACCTATACTGCCTGTCCCGTCTTCTATCCCTGTCCCTTTCCCTTATAGGACTCCGTCCACGATAATAATTCTGATACAGGTCATGGTGAATAATTAGGCAAAAGTGTCAACCATAAAAATCAACCACATAACACAAGAATATGAATGGAATACTTGCCTTTTCATGAGTATCATCCTCTACAGAGTCCATAGCTTGCTCCTCCTCTTCTTTCTCTTCCTCCTCTTCGAAATCATCTTCTAAAGCACTTCTTCTTGGTTCTAGCAACCCACAAGCTTCAAGGGTCCATCTGAATGCCATATACCAAGTTTATTCCTTTTGAGATAAATTCTATAAATAAACATGTGAAAGAATACATGAAAGAGACTGCCATATATATTGATTAAAATTTGTCCACTGCTCAGTCAGTCTGAACTCTGAAGAACAAGAACTGAAATAAAATAGTTTAGAGCTTTAGATAAAGATCAAATATTTCTTAAATTGCAAACTAATATGTATAGTAACAGTAATATATCCACAGTACAACAATTCATGAAAAGAATGGACATGTCCAAACTCACAAAAAAAGTATATCACCTTGCCATGAAACATTATACCACTCCGTTGGACAAGAACAGTTTGTGGATGGAAGCATGTACCAAGCTCCTATTGCATCCTTATTCAAATAATAATGACATTTTAATGATGAAAAAATTTTGATAACCATGTTTAATGCCCAAGAACCCTTCCAGGTTCTGATCGTGCTAATAGAAAAAGAATAATTAAATATTTTGAGATTAAGAAATATTGTGGAACTTGGTTCTGATCGTGGTAATAGGAAAAAATTAATCAAATATTCTGAATTTACTAAATGCAGCTCTTACGGAATGTGATTTGAACAATTAAAAAGGGCCTTGAAACCAGAAGTGGAACAACAGCAGCTTAGTATACAAAAAATCAGCGATTGTCATTCAAAAGAAACTATCCTAATATGATATGCAGCAGGACACTTGGATTACAATTTTAATTTTGTAGACAAAAAATTGAAAATGATTCAATATTTTCAAATAGAATAAGTACTGATCAATGATCTCTTAAAGAAAGATAACAAAGAAAATAATGTCATACAGGACTGGAATTCCTTCCAACAAGGAAACATTTTTTAGTCCAGAAGTAGATGGTAGAAACCTCTCAGAAGCTACAAAGACATATGCCAAATCTCAAGGTAAACAAAAAGATCTGGAAACATCAAGGTGGTTAGTGTTAGAAGAATCAAGTTCCCAGCCAAACTTTAAAGGAAACCTTCCATCTGATAATTTTTATGACTCCCTCAACTTAATTCCGAGTAAGAATAGGACCATCTGTGCAAACGCCTCATCAACTCAATTCAGTGGTTGCACAGCTTCACAATCTCAATATCAGTAAAATAGAAGCTTCTCCAGTTAAAGCAAATTAATGGCATTTTCTCATCAAATATTTATCACCAAAAAATTATACAACAATAAGTAAAACTTCGTAGTTGCATCATAAGTACCGTTTTTGGACACGAGGTAGTGCAATGTCACATGAATAATCCTTTGTAAGGAGCTCATCAATGACTTCATCCACATGAGTCAGGCAAAACTCTGTAATGAACCATCAACAATTACAAATTTAATAAGAGAAGTTAATTGTTTTAATGAAAACAATTAGCTACACGTATCACCAGAAAAAAAAAAGAGGCCAATAATCATAACTACAGATCATACTTCCTTCAGATAACTTCAGCCTAAGTTTCCGATAGTCGTTATAGAGTGGCTCCAAATATCGATACACATCCGTCACCGACCCTGTGAGCCGCATGTAGAACGCCCCAAGAACCCGAACGTACCTACCAAATAATCCACATCAAAATCGAATTTTTCGAGCGCCCCAAGGAGGGTCACTGGAAACAACCGAAATGACAAGGCGGAAACAGCGTATACAATTACTTGTACTCGTCGTTCTTAATGAACTCAACGACTATCTCCTTGTCGGGCTGGATCTGGAGCATCTTCAATATGAGGCACATGAAGGGGGTGGGCTTGCGGCTGCCACCGTACGTGCCCCCGAGGTGGTCGAGCTCCATCGCCTTGTCGACGAGAGTCTCCGCCGTGAGGCCGAAGCACTGCTCCTTCCAGTATGTGTTCTGGTAAATCTTGGAGCGGAGGATCTTCTCCACGAGATTCTGAGGGTTCGTTCCATGGATGCTCTTCGCCGCCGGGTCCGTCCGGTTCGCCATTGTTGTTCCTTCCTCCTCCCCGCAACCCAAACCCAAACCCTAACCCTAACTCTATCCCACCTCTCTTTGGCCACTTGAATCTACTTTAAAAAGGAGTATTTTTACATAAATCTCCTTGCAAAGTTTTGAGTTTTACCAGTTCATGTGATACACATGGCAAGGTGATTTATTTATGTATATTCTCTCCTAAGATTTTGCAGCCAAATGAGGATTTTTTTTTTATTCACCTCCCATGATACTTTATTATATCCAAAAAATATTTTTTTGTTTCGATTATCTTCTTCTGCTACTCTCCATAAAAATGTGTTATATGGACCAAAGTTTGCAACTTCCTATATTGATAATGTATCGATCAGGATTCCAAGTAGTTTTGAACCATTGCATAGAGTATTTGTATAGAATTTTAATTTTTTATTTTAAAAAAATTAAAATTTTAAAAAAACTATCAATTAGATCTATACTAGGTTCGTTGTAGTCTTACAGGGTTCGTATGACCGGCAAAATAAAAGACAGGTTAATAGAAGTATTACACTTATATCTTACGAGTGGATATTTTAATAAACATTTAATAAATATTAAAAATATATATAAAAAAAATAGACTTCATAAAATTATGAGCAATCACGTGACAAATGATCCGAGATAGTATGTTATATTTAAAAGTCTTCGCACATAAGTGCTTATATGATATCGTTGTAAAAGAAAACAACAAACCAACTTAAGATACTATATCAAAAGGCTCGTCCAACCATACGTAGCTCCAATGTATTAAGATAGTTAACATGTCAAGTTGCTCTATTTACATTAAACACACAAAATGACTATTTGAAGATCTTGTTTTTAGGTCTTTTTATCTATGTGATCATACACGTGATATGTGTATAAACCTAAAATGACTACGAAACTTATTCAAAATAGGGTTGTCAATATTATTGTAAATCCCTTACATGATGCTTGAGGCATGAATAAAAAAAAAAAGAAATATATATTGAGAACAAATATATTGAGACTACATCGAATATATTCCTTATGAACTATTATGATAATCTTTGATAAAGGAGATTCAAATTATTTGAAATTAATCATAATTAAATTTAAGAATTTATATTAGGTCTTCAAGTAGGAAGACTCCCTAGAGAACTATGATTTATTTCTATAAATATAACCAACTAGAGTATGTTTAAAATACCCTCTTTCACAGTAAATACAAAAACCCACTTGATATATTATGGTTTGAATTTGACCAACAAGTAAATACAAATTTATAACGCTTTAAAGATTATGAAGTTACCTATATAGAGTAGACAATCAAATCATTGACTAACCGAGAGAAGTAATGTTCCCACAAATTCTTTATATTTAAATTAGTAGGTTGTTTGTGGGGTATCAAATCCTTGAGATATCAGCTAAGCTAATAAAAAGGGGTATGAAACTCTATTTTTGCAAGCTTCGATAAAAGAGATTACATTTTAATTGTTTAACGAAAGTAAGCATATATTATTGGATGAATTCTTAAACAAATTCTTTTAACTTTATTTCAAGAGGTGTCCCTTTTACTTATGTTAAGCAAGTGCATTATCTAATGACACTATATGGTTCCATTTATAAGATGAATCAATTCAATTTCTCAGTTAATTGTTTTTTCATAGCACCATAAATCTCGGTCAAGTGTCTTAAACCAATAATGAGGTCTGTTTGAAAACATATTTTTTATATGAGTTGCTTTATATTGGGTTCTAAGTTCATTTATTTGAGTTAAAATACACTTACAATATTGTTTTACGAATATACCAATTGTAAACTTGTTCAAAACCGACTCGATAAATTTTATATATCAGGTATTGGATTAGTCTATAGTATATTGATAATTGTTTTATCTTATAAATTGATCGATAAAGTGTGTTGAATATTATCATGATATATTTTAGGGATCATAGGAAAAATGGGACACCTCTTCCAAAAGTTTAAAAAGATGATTTTTTTTTCAAAAAATTACCCTATATTATTTTTATCAAAAATATTATCTATATAATATTTTTTATTGTTATTCTGAGCGTATGTAACATTTGATTTATGTTTTCGCATAACATCACAACATGATTTGTGTTTATTGGGATATTCTAGGAGTTATCGTAAACATGTGACACTTGTTGAAAAGGAAAGGCTCAAGAAGAGGTTGTTTTAAAAAATTAACCTATATTATTTTTGTCAAAAATATTATCTATATAATATTTTTTATTATTATTCTAAGCATATGTAACATTTGATATATGTTTTTGTATAACATTGATATATGACACAACATAATTTATGTTTATTGGGATATTTTTGGGATCATTGTAAATATAATATATCTCTTGGAAAAACTCATGAAGAGGTTTTTTTTTATAATTATCCTATATCTTTTATTAAGAAATATTATGTATTTAATATTTTATTATTATTATTCTAAGCATATGTAACATTTGATTCATATTTTCACATAATATTGATACGACAGAGCATAATTTGTGCTTATTGGGATATTTTAGACATCATCATAAACATGAAACAGTTTTTGGAAAAAGCTAAAGAAGAAGGTTTTTTCCAAAAAATATCCTATATTATTTTGGTCAAAAATATTATACATATATATATATATAATATTTTTATTATTATTCTAAGCATATGTAACATTTGATTTATGTTTTTGCATAATATTGACATGACACAACATAATTTGTATTTATTGGGATTTTTAGGGATCATTGTAAATATGATATACCTCTTGAAAAAACTCAAAAAGAGGGATTTTTAAAAAATTATCCTATGTTATCTTGATTAAAAATATTATCTATATAATATTTTTCTTATTATTACTCTAAGCATATGTAACATTTGATTTATATTTTCAGATAATAGCACAATTTGTGCTTGTTAGTTTTGGTCCATTGGGTGTAATGTATCTTATCATAAGATATTATAGCGATCATCATAAATATCAGATACCTGTTGGAAAAGCTTTAAGAAGAGGATTTTTTTCGAAAAATTATCTTATATTATTTTTTGTAAAAAAATATTATCTAAATAATATTTTTTAATTATTTTTCTAAGCAATACATAAACATTTGCATAATACTGACATGACACAGCACAATTTATGCCTATTAATTCTGGTTCATAAGGTGTAGTGTATCATAGGATATTTCAGGGATCATTGTAAATAAAGATATTTTTTTCGAACAATTTTCTTATATTATTTTTATTAAAAATATATTATATATATAATAATAATAGTATTATTATTATTATTATTATAAGCTTGTGTAACATTTGATTTATGTTTTCGCCTCACTGATATGACACAGAACAAATCGTGTTTATTAGTTCTGTGTTCGTAGCTGTAACCGCAGATCACCAAAAAGGAGAGGAAGGAATGGATCAATTAGGAGAGAGAAAGGAGGGAGACGGAAGAGAAAGGCGACGAGGCGACGTGTGAGGCGGAGAGGAGACAAGCCGGGTGGACGAGCGAGAGCCACACTTCAGCTGGAGAATTCCTGCCGGATCCACGTGAGAAGTCATCGATCCTTCCAATTGCAAGGTAGGTAGCCGGCGGGTCAACCTCGCAGGAGTGGCGGAAGGTAATCCCTGAAATTATTCGGCAACGGTGTTCGCCTACCGGCCATATGTTTTTGGTTATAATTAGCTCTTCTTTTAACGCGCACACCGCTTGGAACGACGCCACAGCAACTCTGCGCCTCAACTTCGCCCGTCTGCACTCCTGCGCTACCGCCTCTTGATCCACTCATTTGGCTCCACTTGCACACCTCCCATGGGCGGTGCGTCGGCGGGAGCGTTGGTGCCGTCGGTGTCGAAGGCGGAGGAGATGGGGGCGTCGGTCGCCCCGCTTGCCGTCTCGTCCTCGGAGACCACTGACGTGGCTGGGGCGCCGCCGCCGGCCGAGGGGGCCACGGTCCCCGACGGAACTCGGGCCGCGGCGGCGGTGAAGGCGGAGGCCGAGGCGGAGGCCGAGCGCGACAAGGATCTGCTCTGCCCCATCTGCATGGGGGTCATCAAGGACGCCTTCCTGACGGCCTGCGGCCACAGCTTCTGCTACATGTGCATCGTCACTCACCTCAACAACAAGAGCGATTGTCCTTGTTGCGGAAATTACCTCACCAAGAATCACCTCTACCCCAATTTCCTCCTCAACAAGGTTACGTTGCCAGCCTAACTTCTCATCAGTTCGTTTAGATCGCGGCCTAAACCTGCCAATTCGTTTCATATATCCCATTGTTTGAGGAACAACTGAATGTTACATCGATTGTTACTTTTTTTCCCTTCAATCAATTCTACCATAAGATTGAATTCGTATCTAGATTTAGCTACGGAGGGGCTAGCCACTTTAGATTTCACTTTATGCTGATGGTTATACAAGCATTAAATAAAAACCTTGCGTACCAGGACAAATTTCTTGGCTTTTTTTCAAAGGTTCATATAAGTACTCTTACGTATTTTCTGTTCCTTCTTATTTAGATTAGAGTGGGAAAATTAATGGCTTAACCATTCAGCACTAGTCCGCATTATGTTTGATGCTTCAACAAGCATCCCAAAATGAAATATATCCATCATCCTGATCCTGGCTACAGCAAGGAGCCAAACTAAGGTTTCTGCACTTTTTGGCTTGTTGATTTGGTGTTCTACATATCATAAACCCATTGAAGAGGTTAGGTTCATAATTTTCTTTGGAATGAGGAAAGTGTTATGCAAAAGTAAGACATCATTGATAAATAAGAGTTCTTTTTGTTCTTTGAGAGAGACTGTAGAAAAATCATGTCGAAACTATATTTCTGTTGGAGATATGAGAAAGAGCTTTAAATAATTTCCAAATGTTCTACTGGGGAAATATGTGATTGAATAGATGGTTATCCTGTCACAGACTACACATATAGGTTAAACATGCATCCCATCATTCCAATCATCCTTTAGTCAAAGTATATAACAGTGTGCTGGCTAAACATGCATTGGTTAGACTGATTTAACAAGTATGTACCTATCCAATATCAGAGTCTTTCTCTAGAAAAGATTTCAGTAGGTAGATGCTGCAAGTCGAAGTTCTAACTTGTAATTGTAGGTTTATGCCTCTCTTCTTTTGTGAGCAAGTATGGAAATCCTGAAGGCATAGTTTGTGTTTGGTTGCTTTTGTTTCACCAATGTACTAACTACTAACAGGCTAGCCAAATAGGTCCCCGGGGTGTGTAAGATTGGAGCTGTAGTCCACTATTTATTGTTGTCACTCAAAAGCTATTTCATTTCCTACATGATGATCAAGTAACCACTTACATCTTGTCTAAGTATATTATACTGAGTCAAACCAAGATTTGGGATATCAGTGACCAAATAATGCAGATCATATGATAATAATTTTCTCCATCCATGCCCATATGTATATTCTGTGAGAGATGCAGGAGAAACCATGATTGAATTGCAAAACATGATGGATATGTGTGGGTGTCCATATATATATATGATGAAACATGATTTGGAAAAATCCTAGATCTTTGGTGAAAATTCTGTTGCTAGAAGAAGCATTTTATGCATTTTCTTTAGAAACTAGTTTATTCATCTAGCTGGAGAAGAAAAGGCTTCACTAGCCCACCCACAATACGGAGCGCAGCCGCAGATAATCCAACAGTTCCATGATTAATACTTGAGTTTCTGCCATCTCCAAATAAAAGACTATGGTTCTTTCCTTTTGTTTTGTATAACCAAGACCATATATGCCAGTTATATTAGAACTTGAAGACTTGACTGACCATAATTGTTTGGCGTTTCCTATCATGATCTAATTTGCAGGAAGTTGTGTTGACAATTTTGAGTCAGATATAAATATATTGTCAAATTTCATAATATGACCAAAGAGTTCCAAAATGGTATGCCGTGCTACAGTGACCATGAACATGTCAAACATTTGGGAGTTCTACGATGACACAAATGATGATTATATCTAAAGCAATATGTAACTTTATAAATCACCCATAAATAATATTTTCTTTTTCATGGTAGTGTACATTTTAGTATACATGAAATATAATTTTATGTTGGCACATATGATGATCCATGTAATGATCATAGCCTAGGCTCCTGAAGCTCATTATCAGCTATATAGTAGCCCAAATGCTTTGATGTTCGCCCATAACAACTATGGATTAATGATATTGGATGATTCTTTTGTACTTCTTGGTTACTGTAGCCACTGTAAGCTTGGAATATTGGTATTGGGAGGGTCTTTTTGTTTGGGTTCCAGACTTAGTAGATGCTCTTTCATTGCATGCACTTGCCAGTATTGACAACAAGACACGCTCATTAGTTTGTCATATAATGAATGTCACTAGTGTTCTAGGCACACCTGTACAAACTAATGAATGTATGAAGCAAGTTTCTCCTATAATAAAGGTCTTTGGCATCTTCTTTCAGTATTTATGCTTGATTTAGGTGATGCCATTCTTATAATAATAATTATTTTGTGTACATGCAGCTTTTGAAAAAGCAATGTGCCCGTCAAATTGCAAAAACAGCATCACCTGTTGAGCATCTTCGTTTGGCATTGCAGCAGGTCAATTTTTTTTCTGTGCCTAATAGTCTATTTTCAGTATTTTGAATCAATGCCTAATAAGTGATGACCATCCTGTAGATATTTCCATGCATAATTTGGTTTTCAATAGCTAATAGGATGACTTGTTTACTAATATTGGTTGTAAATTTGTTGTCACCAGACTCACCACTAATATGAGCATGTTCCTTTGAGCTAATTTTTTTTTTTTTATCAAATCTGCTTTCTAATCTCAATTTTAGCTTGATATAACCCACCAAAATTCTTCCTATAACCTGTTGTACAGAAGGTCATTTAGCTTATTTTGATGATTATTTATTAGTTACTTTATAATACATTTGCTGTTTATTTCTATCAATGTATGTGTGCATACATGTAGTTGTTACAGAAAATAGTATGATCCAACTCATCTTTTTCATATTGGTTGAATGTTTAATTGTCAAAGTGTCAAACTGGGTTCACGGGTGAAGTGAGATGATGTGAATATTTATTAGTTTGCAAAGTTCCAATATTTCCTAAAGAGTTATTGTCCCTCATTCTCTCCTACGGTAAACATGAACTATTTATATTAGGCCAGTCAAAGTTTCTGACTCTCCACTATTGTAATAATTAATTTGATACTCTACTAACTGAAAAAATCACCACTTTTAAAGTCCTATATATTATTACTTCTGTTGCTTTGTCGTTCAGTGCAATAACTGTTGGGTTTAGCTTTCTGATGGAATATTGAGTTTGGGATCGAGCAACTCAAGTGTTATTCCATTTTCTTTCTTTTTTATTATTATGTTCTCGGAAATATAATTATCAAGCTGATGATCACTAGGGAGCACCAATTTGCTTCTTCTGTTTTCCCCAAAAATTTAAATTAATCGTCAGAAGAATCTACAGTATATATTTTCTCTTTTTGATGTAAAATGAATGTTTGTTGAAAATTTGTACTTGAAATCAATAAAGAGATCTTTGTCTTGGAGGACTGAAAGATTCCATTGGAGGTCCCTTTTAACAAATTTTTTCAGTTTTTCTTAATTTAATGGGATTATGTACCAAAATAAAATGTTTTGAGGATGGAATGAAAAAATATCTGATTTTTATTGAGAATAAGCACTTAGAACAAAACTTTGTTTGTACGAGTTCATTTCATTCCATTGGCTTCTTGTCCTGATTTACTCAATTATAGATAATTTCATTATTAGTTCACGTACCTTTATCTATGCATCTCACTTGTTTGGAGTCTAAGCTGTTGTACATTTGCATAGCACAATTGTCTCACATTTCTCCAGCTTTCCACTTGGTATGTTGTTTTCTGTAATGTAGGTCAGTGTTGGAGCTAGGATATTTATGCAGAGGGGACATCATAGATAATGTGTATAATTCATTTATAAGAAGTATTATCATTACATAATCTAAATTATGAAGTTAATTAGATTCAGTTTAAATCAACAGAGATAAGTGATAGAAAGAAGGGGGCAAATGTTAGAAGGAAGGGCTCAATACTGAAGTCTCATTCATTGAAGGGAGTTTTTTAAAAAGTTCCAGTGGAGCAACTGCTTGTCTTCACTTTCATGTAGATCTGTCCACTTATTTTGATTAAGAGATCAGGAATATAGATTGGATTACTTTGTGCTGTTTGGCATGAATTGGGTCAAGACATATGGTTTCTTTACTTGGTCAAGTGAAAATATGTTTGCATTTGTTTATTAGTTTTCCTTCCCTGGTCAAGAAAGTAAAGATAGTGATGACAAAGAGAACATCAAGGTTCTTAATTTCGGGTACCTATCCCAGATTGGTGCTGGTCCAATCCTTATCAATGTACCATGTGTCAGGATGCTGTTACATATTGAGTTTTGGAAAAAAGCCTGAAAAATTAAAAAAAATGTTATAGGTGGTATATGCCCTATGCTAGATGTATCGCCCAGTTTACCCTGGTCTATGTGCCGTGCTGGTAGGCTGTCGGATCGATAAATGCTTGCTATACCGATTACTGAAGAATATATCAACAAGGTAACATGTCTGTTGTTGGTGATGAACTGATGATGTTTACAAGGTATTTTCATTGCTGTACATAGTTAACCATCATAATAGGTCCTGTGCGACTGCCAGCTTTATGAATAAAAAAGGTGTTTTTCCTTTACATATTATATTATTCTGTCAAAACAAATGCTTTAATTTATAGGTATATTTCCAAGCACCTTTATAGTCCTGGCCATTGACCCATGGAGCACTACTTGAAATATTAATTCTTAGCTTGGATCATCCATAAAACATTTGCAATGATATATCTCTCTTTCTTAGTCAAGTAATTGCTTGACCATGAAGCTGTTAGAATCTCTTCCTAGTTATTACATGACAATGCAACATATTTGGAAGTGAAAGCTTGAATACAAATGACATTAATAGTTGTAAAAATATATAGAATTTATTGGCTAGACTCATTTAATTCCATTTTTCTTACATGTGATTCATGTGTGATCTTCTGATCAATTTAGTAGCATCAGAAACCGTGGCTAGATATCCTTTTTTCATAATTAATCTCAGAACAAGTACTTTTCTTATTCTGACAAGTGACTTTTGCAGAAGGTTTTTTTTAGTTGACATATTGCATTAGCCTCCATGTCCATGACACACTGTTGAGACTTGAGACTATACTTCAAAATCTTTTTTCACAATGTGGTTAGTAATGGTATGCATGACAGCTTGTTGGGCAGGTTTTGAACAAGACGACTTATACTGTAAATATGCTCATTTTCTGTAGACTCTAAATCTTATTTTCATGAAAAATGCTTTATTCATTATTTTAAGATGTATAGTTCCTAAGAACATCTTTGTGGTGACTGAACTTATTTTCATGAAAATGTGTCCGTTCATTATTTTACGATGTAGCATTCCCAAGAACCTCTTTGTGGTGATTGCAATTGTTTTATTAATATCAAAATTTAAGAGTATACATGGACTTAGACGGTTCGCTTTCTTGTAGACAGGGATGTGAGATGTCGGTTAAGGAGCTCGATGGTTTGTTGTCTCTTCTTAGTGATAAAAAGCGGAAAATGGAGCAACAAGAGGCTGAGATGAATATGCAAATTTTACTCGACTTTTTGCACTGTCTTAGGAAGAAAAAGCTGGAAGAGCTTAATGAGGTAGATCACAGTAACTTGATTCATGCAAAACTAGTGTGCTCGTCAGAATTGCCTTTTATGTTTACATTACAATTAAAAGATTTCAGGATGACAAACCTTAATAGAAGTAATGTCTGTACTGTTTTCAGGTTCAAACTGATTTACAATTTATCAAAGAAGATATAAATGCTGTAGAGAAACACAGAGCAGAACTGTACCGGGCAAGAGAGAGATACTCGGTGAAATTGCGAATGCTTTTGGATGATCCAATTGCAACAAAATTTTGGTCTTCCACTGCTGATCAGCACAATAGCATACTTGTCTCGAATGCTCGTAGCTCTCTTGTTGGGACATGCTCTCGAAATTTACAGGTGAAGAGTAATGATGTGAAAGCTCAACTAAGCCATCAAGATTACCAAAGAAAAGATGCTTTAAGTGGATCTGAAACAACAAATTCCCTTATTCAATCAGGAAGAGTCATAGCAAGAAAGAGACGAATTCAAGCTCAGGTCAGCGAGTGAAGTTAATATTTTCTATTGCAAATTGTTAACAATTTGGAGGGCCAGGTTGCTGGTTTTTATCTCTTTAATGGGCTGTAGATGATTCTTCTGGTGGATTCTTCACTACTTGCAGTGAATCTACTGTCAGGGAATAATTTATCTGTAATTAGTCATGTAACCAACTTATACTATATGTATATATGTAATTATGTATATATATAATATTTCATGACTGTTTGATAGATGTATCCTATAGTGCCTATAATCTAGTTTCATACCAGTTTATCACACAATTAATTCTATGTTAGTTAATACAAGTGGCTCATCTTCTTTTTTTTAATTAGCTACTTAATCTTTTGCTAGGTTTTATTTGCCTTGAATGATTCTTTTGTCTATCTTGATCATCGATGTTTTGTGATCCTTTATTGTACTCACTATGGTCCATAGGTAATCATTCTAAGTCATCATCTTGACAAATTCATTGTATAATTGATTGTGTTAATCATAATCAAAATACGAGTGTCAATAATAATAATTATGATACGAATCCTTTGTAATACAACTTCAAAGGTAGTCACCTTTTTCATTTCCAAGAATATATGGGACTATTTAAAATCTGATAATTAAAGCTTTTTGTGACTAATGGTTGCAGCAAGTATTAAAACTAATTAAGAATTTAGGGTCCACATCTCCAATCTCTTTGTTGTAGCGAAGTTAAAAGTTAAAACCATGTTATTCCATAAAAGATTAACTAGGTTAAGGCTGAACAGAACAGGATAGTGCCATATAGTTCAAATACAAAGTAACTCAATTTGAGATTACTTTCAATCTTAAGAGCTTGCTGAAAATACAAAAGAGAAAGCACTTGTTGTCAGAAATTAAGAATGCCATTAAGATCAAATAACTACAACAAAAAGATGCACTATATTGAGAATTAACAATTACGAAGTAGAGGCAAGATAAAGAACTAGGGGAAAAATTCTCTCTAGTTAATTTCTATATTGTCACAGCTTGGGATGGCTTACACACAGGAAACTTGCCTGCCATTATATTGGAAAAACTGATCTTTTAATTATTCAATCACTATAATATCACGAGAAATTAAACTTTGTATGGACTTCAAAAAATGTCATATCATATGCTATGAGAACTTTGGAAAATATAATTAGAGTTGTCGTTTCATGAGGTTTTATCTTTCATAAGCATGTATCAAAAATAGTTTTGTGTAGCTACAAAACCACATTCCTAAGAATTTAATATCTGTCCAAGCAAGGAGCAATAGGAAACAAATTGGGCCTCTTATTTGCCCTTTCAGAATGACCCCTAAAAATAAGGATAAAATATGAAAATCATTTGAACCCAAATCTGATTTGGTTTGAGATTGTTGTGGCCGAACTGCTTTTAAACTCTACTCGAATCTTTTATTTGTCACGTGCTGCTGCATCAGTTATCAATTATTACAAAGCATGAACAAGAGTATTTGCTTTAATTCTTTAACATTTTAGATTCACTGTTTTAGGTTGATGTGGCCTTTAGATGAACACTTCACTGTTATAAGTTCTCGTCTTTGTTTGGTTTAATTCTTTAACATTTTAGATTCATATTGTTATAACACCAGCATAATATTATCTTCGTTGCTAATGCCACAAAAAAATCAATATGTTATAGTTAATTTGCCTTTCTCTATTTATTGAATTGCTTTATGAATATTCTATATAAAAATGTGTTTTACACTTGCAGTTTAAGGAGCTTCAAGAATGTTACTTACAAAAACGGCGTCTTGGAGCTAGCCAATCACATCGTCAGGAAGAAAAAGATGCAAACGCCAAAGTTAGAGAAGGTTATCATGCGGGTCTTGATGATTTTCAGTCTGTGCTAACCACATTTACTAGATACAGGTGGTCGATGCAATCTTTGGTAATTTGATGTTTTGTTGGTTAATACTTATTGCAGTGGTCATTTTATTAACAAACTGTACTGTTTTTCATTGTAATTTTGCCTACTGGGTTCTGGTTTGCCTTTTTCATGTAATCCTTCATTGATTCAGTCGGTTGCGTGATATTGCGGAACTTAGACATGGAGATCTATTTCATTCTGCAAATATTGTGTCAAGGTATGTAATTTGTGAATGCAGATCTCATTCTCTTGATTACTCCTAACATGATAATTTTTATTTCTGTCTTTTGTCACTTACCATTATTATCCGGGCTTCTGTATCCAACCCCCACAGCGGCATGGATGTTTGGACTCCTTAATGTAGATTCTAACATCCAAGCAAGAGCTGGACTTTGTTGTTGTTTCTGTTGCTTTTTTGCTTTCTACATTACTATCTTGTAATATTAATTTTTTAGTTACCATGTTGGCATGGCTAGTTTCTGCCCCTAGCTGTTTTAATGTATATTTGAAACTGGTGTTGTGTTCATACACATGGAACATTTAATTTACATATCTTATAATTTTTCTTAATCTGATATCTTTTTTCTTTTTTATTTGAAGTTTCATCAATGTCAAACATGATTTCAATTTGTGCTCTACACAAGCTCCACCATGAATTGGTGTTGCTTTGAGCAACATAATGCTAAATTTCTCACAAATGTTTCCAAGTGGCAGAGTTGGTGACTTTTCTTTGTAAAGTTAGTATGCATGAATCTTATGTAATTTTGTTTAAAAGCAAAGAAGGGAGTTGACCATCTAGCTGTAAAGAAGACGTTGATGTCCTTCTCTTGTTTTTTTCAATTAAAGCTGAAGCAGCAACTTTCAGCATGACACATGCACAGAGTCCTCTTCTACTCTCAGCATTAAAAGAAATAAAGATTGCTATAACACCCAAGAAATACCTAAAACATAGTATACAATTGTAGAGCCAAGTGAACATCAATGTAGTTGACTGATCAATTCTGCTGAAACCAGACTTCTCTCATTCTCTCCTTGTCCTTTTATTATGTTGTATTTTTGAAATTGTTTTGCTCATTATTAATATCTGATTCCAAGGCATCCTTATAATGTTTCTCTCATGCAGCATAGAGTTTGATCGCGATGATGAGTTTTTTGCCACTGCTGGTGTTTCGAAGCGCATTAAAGTCTTCGAATTTTCTACAGTAAGTTATAATTTACTTCATCCTGCAAAATGCATTGTCCCTTCTTATGCTGAACTGATTATAAGCCATTTTATGCGATTCAGGTTGTAAATGAACCATCAGATGTAAACTGCCCTGTTGTAGAATTGGCCACACGGTCCAAACTTAGTTGCTTAAGTTGGAACAAGTACTCCAAAAACATTATTGCGAGTAGTGATTATGAAGGGATAGTAACTGTTTGGGATGTGACCACTCGCCAGGTAGTTATTTTTTATACCATAAAACTGTTTTGTAAATTGTTATGCAGTCAGTATATATTAGATGATCCAAACCCTGTGGTGGAGCTAGGAAAAAATATCTTAAGAGCTTTCTTTTTTCAGAGTATGATGGAATATGAAGAACATGAAAAAAGAGCATGGAGTGTTGATTTTTCACGGACGGAACCAACAATGTTAGTTTCTGGTAGTGATGATTGCAAGGTACCGTCAAATTCAGCAAGAGCAATTTTCCAACAGAATTGTCTTAAAATAATTTCCAACAGAGGATCTTTTACCTGTTAATAGTTTCTTTTTTTTTTTCTCTTGTTTTTTATACTTGCACTTGTTCTCAACAAAATATAACCTTTTAGGTAATATTTACTTTTTCATGGGATGATCCATGTATCTAACCTTTACTTTGGAACTTATAAAGATCTAATGCGTATTAACTGGACTCTGTTTGTGATGTCCACTGATGTTGAAAGCCATTAATCTGCTTAAAATTTTTTGCAATCTTCATGTTCATGATATTGCATGCTTTATCAGACGCTTGGATTCTCTACCAGACATTACATTATGTTACATGAATAAATTGTTTTTTGGTGTGTCTGAACTTACAGTTGAAAATTGACAGAAGGATTTACCTCCTGTTCATCAATGTTTGAAAGGTCGCCTTGGAATAATTATTAGGATCAGAAAAAATGTAATTTTAAAGTAAAAATAAAATTTCAAAGTTAAAAATGGATAAATTCATTACTTTTGAAATAAATAATTAGTTACGATTATTCTTTTTATCTAGTTTGTATAAAAAAATGTCATAGCATGCAATAATAGGATTGTGTGGTCTCTCACACCCTCTCCTCTCTCTCTGTAGATGGTTTCACCCTTTTCTTCCCTTCCCTCTCCTCTCTCTATTTTTATTTCTGTCCCCTACACTCACTACCTTACCTCCCTCCATCCTTTATATCACTCACTCCATGATGATTTCCAGCAAGTGTTGCAATCCATTCAATGATCTTCTTCTCTTCTTTTCATTATTGTGCCTCCACTTTCTTCCTCATTGGTGATATAAGCTTTGTGAGTCACCAAATTCGTTTGAATAGGTAGATTTTTGCATAAATGATCAGGCTGTTTTTTGGCAACAAAGTCAAGAAATTAGTCCAAATAAGTTGACCTTGCACATCTTGATCCATATCTATTGGTAACTGGGATGAATATTCATGTGATCATTGATTGCAAATGCGTGGAAGAAAATTAATAGGAAATTTGGAGAGGATATTTGAATTTGATTTCATTTGTATGCATGTTTTGTTTTTTTGTATTGTTACTTGGTCCATTTAATTTGGTTTTTTGTATTGATTTTCAGTTATTTCTTAAATTTGCTTTGGCTTGGAACTTTGTTCTCTATCTTCGAGGTTTGACCTGAGTTTGATGTTCTTGTCATAAGATTCCATGAAGTTACCATGGAAGCTTTTCTTAGTTAATTAGTTTTATTTTAGCCAGCTGAAATTGATGCCAAGAGGCCTTGATGAGATGATGATGGCAATGATAACAAGGATGATAATAATGGTGATCTGTATCAACAATTATTTTTTGTTCTCACATACAAGTATCTGAACTGTAGAACTTTACATGATATCTTAAAAGATGTCATTGGGTTTACCAAGTAAATGAAGATGATTGATTCAACATGAGCTTGACGAAAAATGAAGGGCAACTGTGGCGTTGAATTATATACATTTTCTCATCATAACTATGTTCTGTGTTGCATTCCTGATTTTGATTATCTGAGTTTATGAATCTTATGGTCATATATACGAAGTTATGTAAAAGCTCCTTATCATGATTAATTGTTAAGAGTATTAACTGGAAGTTGAAACTTCATTAGTTATTTTATGATTCTTAATGCAAGCATTACTAAAATAGCCTTATATTGTCTTGAACTCTTGATGACAATTTTCATTTATCTCATGACAAGTAGGTCAAAGTGTGGTGCACAAAGCAAGAAGCCAGTGTTATCAATATTGACATGAAAGCAAATATTTGTTGTGTCAAATATAATCCTGGATCCAGTGTTCATGTTGCAGTATGTTTTCATCATTTCCGTTTTTACCTTTTCAGTTTGTTGTTATTTCAGTTTATGAATACTCATCGTTTTCCAGGTTGGTTCTGCTGATCATCACATTCACTATTTTGATTTGAGAAACACAAGTACTCCACTCCGTATTTTTAAGGGACACTGGAAAGCAGTTTCATACGTGAAATTCCTGTCCACAAATGAGCTTGCATCTGCATCAACAGACAGTACATTGCGATTGTGGGATGTAAAGGACACATGCCCAGTATGTTTTACTGGCTTTATTTTTTTATCTCATAGCTTATTAAAAATTGTAACCTTTTATTAACCACTTCTCATCCTCCAAGGGGCAAAGTTACACTCTTCCTGCCATAAAAAAATTCAATGAAAATTATTGGATCTCTTTTGTATACATGAACTCCTAGGTCATATGTGTAATCAGTAGTTGTTTTAATATTAGTTAAAATAGGAAGGAGATGTCTAAGCACAATGTCAACAAGCCAAACTATATTTGTGGTTGGTCAGATTTAATTTTTTGCAAGTTAATCTTTGAGTTGAATTCTTTTAGAGAAAGCATATGCTGAGGTTTGTGTTGTTTAAAATTATGGGGGTTATTTTGTTGATCAGGATCAAGCCTAACTACCCTTAGGAATAATTCTTTTTACCTTTTGTTTTGGGGGTTGTTGGGCAGGAAGAGGAATCTAAGTGGAGTCTGATGCTATTACAGTGCCGGAGTTATGTCATTCTGTGTTGATTCCTTCACAAACATAACATCTGAAATGGAGAAAGAGAAGTTTGAATACTACTGCTGCAGCAGTAGCAGTTGCTCCTATATAGTGCCATTGGCTAGTTTAGAACCATTACTACAACATTAACAGTATTACTCCTATATAGTGCAATTTGCTAGTTTGAAAAAAATGTCAAACCTTTTTTTCCTATATGGAGGAGCTATTTGCTACCATAGTACCACTGTCATAGCAACAACAGCAGCTTTGCTCCTATGTAATAGCTTATAATGCTACAGAAGTCAGCTTTGCTCCAGCAACAACAAATTTTCTACAATATAGAGCTATTTGTTAGTTTAATACTCCTACTGTAGTAACAATTTCTCATTTGCTCCTATGCAGCGCTATTTGCTAGCTTTCTTTTGAGTGCAAAGTTAAAGTGTATAGAGATCTTTTGCTTGATTACTGTAGGGAGGAGTTTGAGTGGGTGGTGGAGCTTGGAATTTTCATTCTTTTTGTTGATATGTAGGCACCTAAATTCAGATAGGAACTGTATGGCATTATGCCAGAATTTAGAATATAGGCCTATTTGTGTCTGCCTGTATGGAACGAGGAGGAGACAGTACATATCGAGGAAACCTTGTTGGGCTCAGATATCACAAGCAGTTGGATGAGGGGCATGATTAGATCAGGATAACAGATTGCTACCAATATGTTTACTGATGATACACTTGGTATGATAAAAAAATATGAAGCTATATGCTTGATATGGAATTGTAGGTTACAAATTGCTCAATTTGCATATCAGTTAGACATTAGACCGTAAATATTGGATCAAACCAATTGGTATTAAAATTTTTTATTATACTGTGACTTCTCTCCTGTGTACTTGTCTTTTCCAACTTGATGAGGAATGTGTTCAATGATTCTCAAGGTTTGATATGTATACATGTATCCACTATGCATATCTTTCATGTATGGATAATATTTTACAATCAGATTTCTTGTTAATTTTTTTCCCCATAGTTATATCTCAGAAGACAATGATTCCAGAGTTACAATATTCTTTTTTTTTTGTTTCAATCTCTGTTTCTTTGTTGCTATCTTTTTGTTTTGTTTTGTGTTTTTTTTTATGTGAGGAATGCATTCTTCAAAAGGACCCAATCCAAACAAACCCTGAGCCAGATTAACCCAAATTCCAAGCTGAGCTCAGAAATTTGTGTTCGAGTTGGTTTCAAGCTAGGAATCTTGTGTTAGAGGCTGGGATGGCAGGAATTGTACATGGGTTGAGTCCAAGCCCAATCCGATCCACCTAGGTTTCATCCCTATAGTTATATCTTGAAAGCTTGACTTAGTTTCCTAAAATTTATTTAAAATGATTTTATAAATGGGAGGGTAATGGCAGATTTTATTCACTGAGGCATAGCTCCAACGTAGTTTATGTTGAAAACATTGCTCAAGGTACAATATCTCAATTAAAGAAATGGACCTGTCCATGTTCCACTATAAGGTTGCTTGAAGGGTCGTGTTCCACGAGGAAGAGAGCTCAACCAGACTCCTTGGTTAGCTCTGTTATGAGTTTGAATTTTAAAGAGTAATACTTTCTTATTCATCAGGAATAAGATAGAAGCAGTGCCTTCCATATAAAAAAAGGGCACAAACATTGTGCCTTTGTGTTGCCAAATAGTGAATAAAGTTGGAGAAAATGAGAGAAGAAAGTGTCAGGAGAGGATAGTGAATAAAATGAAGAGAAGAATCCTTTCTTATAAGTGGTTCCTGTTTGCTTTTAGTTGGCTTTTAAGGGTCTCTCATAATGGCTTCCATTTTGTCGTAGAATTTCCTTCATGTTGGACTGTTGGTGTTAATTGTCTCATCAGAACTGGTCAAGTGGATCTCATTAACTTTGCAAGAAGCTCTTTCATTAATTATAGTAAACCTCTCACTTCCACACCAATATAGCCATGTTGACTGAATCATGTAACTCTGGTGTTTTTACCATACTTGTTTTGATGTTTTTCTTACTTTCTGTTACCTTTTTCTACTACTCCTGCATGACTATTTTTTGTATACAAAGTTTGAAACTCAGCATTGACAATCATTTAGCTCATATTATGCATTATGTATGATATCGCAGTTATGCCTGATTTAGCAGATGATTTGACACCCATGTCATACATTAAGAACTGAATGCTGTGATGGTTTTGTTAACCGATTAGAACACCGTAGGACTTGAAAATCCTTACGATCATTAATATCTTCTTGATTGCCATTCATGCATCTTATTGATAAATCATCTTTCGTACATGTTCTATTACCTATCTCTCTGACATCTTCCACCTCTTTTGAGATGTATATATACATACCTTTTGTTTAATTTCCTTGACCATATACTTCCCATGCACCTCTAAATCCTTTTAGGAGTGGAAAAGGATTCCGTACCTACTTAATGACTTCTTTTTATGTTGGATTATTTATTCAGGTGCGCACCTTCAAGGGACACACAAATGAGAAAAATTTTGTGGGTTTAACAGTAAACAATGAGTACATTGCTTGTGGCAGCGAGACAAACGAGGTTTTCGTGTACCATAAGGTGAGCCAGACTTACTATGCTGGATTAATTGCCAAAATTTGCCTCCTGTTGTTAGTTCGGTCTGCCTGCAAAATTGTCTTTTCACTCTGTAGCTTTTGTACTTCATTAGTTGATCTCAAAAACCAGCAACTGTAATTGCAGGCAATCTCGAAGCCAGCTGCATGGCACAAATTCGGATCCTCAGATCTTGATGATGCAGAAGATGATGCTGGGTCATATTTTATTAGCGCTGTTTGCTGGAAGAGTGACAGTCCTACAATGTTGGCAGCCAACAGCCAGGGGACTATCAAAGTTCTGGTACTCGCAGCTTAGCAGAAGACGATAAAAGGCAAGGAAAGCTTTTAGATGTGCCCGGTAGTTGTCCGTGTATTTATCGCTTAGGTGTGTCCATATTTTTTCATTCAGTAACTACTCTACTCTTCCTACTCTTTTCTCTCAAGGCTTTTCTTGGTCTTCAACCTTAGGAATGGCTTTACAGTCCATGGTTTGCACCTTGATAGACTTGTAAAATGTTGTCATATTTCGAGATGTGGTAATCATACTTGTTCATTTTGCTCCATTTTCTTTTACGAGTATGTTAATGGGACTCTACAAGGGTGATTTCTGTCGAGTCTAATGGGTTAAAGGTCTTGATGTGATCTGACTTAAGGAGACGAAGGAAAAAGCTTTTGCAATGTGCTTGATACATGTTCTTTTCTTGTTTGGTCGAAAGTTTTTCATGGTCTTCAATCCTAAGTGCACTGGTACGAACTTGACTCTTTCTCTCTCTTCTTGCATACTTTAAGTTTGAGTATAATTGTTTGGTTGAGGAGCACTGACCATGGTTGACTATTTGTGCTTTTTTCTTCAGATCATGAGATCATGTTATTGGCAGCCGACCACTACTCAGGACTCGTTTACCGACAAGTGTTCAACCAACGAAGGCTCGTTAATGAAAAGGCAAGCCCTCCCTGAAAGTATAAAATATCATATTGTGCAGATACGGCCAAACTTTATTCGAGGAGGTTTTACATATCCAACATTTCAAAATTTTTTGAAATTACATGTTTGCTCCTATAAGTTCTGTTTTTGCATGCATATTCCTTAAAAATTAAAAACTATATACATATATATATATATATATATCCCTTCAAATATTTAAATCTTTCTTTTCTGTCATTTTGTTAACATTTGTCTATAAAATTTGAATGAATTATTTATCAATTATGATTATCGTAAAATTTTAAAATAAAAAAATAAAAAATCCTTTATTACTCTTACCAATTAATTTGGCCCATTACATTCCTTAATGTTTCAGAAGAGGTATTAATATCAATTTTGAATTCCGGTTTTTTCAACTTTCTAATGTAAATATTAACTTCGAAGGGATATAAATATTATTGTTTTTCTGAAAAATAAAATTCATATATTAAGAAAGAAGCTTATATAATAACTCAAACTTTTCATTAGGTGGTTAGGTTGACCTCTAAATACTTCACAAAGTTTGTTAACGAATGATTACAACTGTTAGCTTCTCTAAAGATAGAATCATTTCACAAGCAGTGTTTTTCCGATTTTAACAATAGGCATCTGTCTCCATCTCAACCCTCAGAAGAAGTTTTTGACTCAATTAAAAGAAACACAATTTCTACCCGATGGGGTCTCTGCCTAACGGAGAACGTATAGCGATTAGGCCATAAGCCTTGCACTTCTTTGGACTCACCTCCGTGTAAGAAAGACCTGACGCCGACCCGTTACAGTATGGTCTTCGGATCCTCTCCAACCGTCATTCTACCTACTGCTCTATTCTAACAATAGAAAGCCAGCCACGTTTTCAGCATTACGATTGTTCTCTATCCATTAAGAAATCCCAGTTGGACAGGATCCGCTGCCTCAAAAGTAACAAATCGAAACACAAATAAGAATCAAGTCAAATCGAACGCTCCTCTCCCAAAGCGCGAGAACTGTTAACATTTGCCCTTCCCTTTTTCGTTATTCCGAGGGCTCCTCTCGCGGCTTACTCCTCCATCTTCCTTCGTCCGCCGGCGTGCGATCCACCCGATCCCTCGCCGTTGTTCTTTCGCGATCGTCGCCTTATGGACTTCCCTTCCTATTCGACCAGTAAAGAGCAAGCGAGGATCTACAATGAGTGGTTTTCTTTCGCCGATTCAGGTTCGCTTCCGCATCCCTCTTGTCTCGGCTATGCTCACGAGGTTTTTGAGGTTTTTTTCCTGATTGTATTAGATGGAGATGGCCGGATCACGGGGAACGATGCCATCAAGTTCTTCTCCTTGTCGAATCTATCTCGCCCCGATCTCAAACAGGTGAAACTGTTCTAAATTCGTTGGTACCACTGTTGTTGATATACTTTTATCGAGTGTAATGCTTTGTATAGCCATTCTTGCTATTCTTTCCGTTTCCTCGCTATTATATCCCACTTTTGTTTCTACTTTGCAATACGCTAATGACTAGATCGTCCTCTTTTCTTTTGATGTTCCCATTTATCTCTGTTGTAGTTATTGTCTGTGTCATGACATGCTGCCGTGGATTTCGAATGTAGGAGTATCACCTATTAGGATGGACTATATTTTGATTCTGGACCTTTTTCTTTCCTTTCCTAATTGATGATGTCGTTATGGAGAAAATGAAGTCCTGATAATAATCGTAAAAATATCTTGGGATATAGAGAGAAAAGAGATATAATTGAACTGTTGCACATGATTTTTCTCTTAAAAGATTTTGATAGAGTTTCTACAGATGTAACACCATGGATTTTAACCTAATAGGAAGCTTTAGTAAACACATTGGTGCAATTATAAATATGCATGATAGGGTACCTATTGGTTAGAGTATCAAAGATCATCTCTAAGTTTTTATCCATTGACACCCAACAGATAAGCTTACCAGGCATACTGAAGATGATGTTTATGGTACGTGCATCATTAATAGCTTTATATTGATTGATATGGCTGTGTGGGGCTAAAATCTAAGTTTTAGCTATGAAAATTGAATTTAGAAACTAAGGTATTTAGGTAATGCAGGAGTAGAAGTGCATATATGTAATTACCAAAGGTGTTGTTGCAATAGATGGGAGAGAAGGTACAAAAGGTGGAATCAGTTGGCTGAATGAATTAATATCATAGAAAGAACATGGAAAAATGTTTGAATGGATGCTATGTGATGTTAAGGTTCTGGATAATTCACAATGATCCTGCAAATTTACACGTGAAAGTTTCTATTTTGACATATTTTACCCCTAACTACAGGGACATCCATTCGTCCTGCATGAAGTGGTTGAGAGGCTGGACGGGGAATAGTGAAAACGAGCTACTAATCAAAGGTGGTGTTGCAATAGAAGGAAGAGAAGGTACAAAAAGTAGAATCAGCTGGTGGAATGAATTAATATCATAGAAAGAGCATGGAGAAATGGTTGAATGGATGCTGTGTGATGAATAAGGTTCTGGATAATCCACAATTATCCTGCAAAGTTACACCTTAAAGGTTTTTTTTTCCTTTTTTGAAAGGAGATCCATTTTACCCCTAACGACTCTGAACTGAAGGAACATCCATTCGTCCTGCATGAAATGGTTGAGAGGCTGGACCGGGAATAGTGAAAACAAGCTAGTATAATGTAAAAACATGGCAGCAACCTTCTAATTGTAAAGAATCACGGGGATTGATCATTCTAAAAAGTTCAGTATGGGGCTCTCAAAAAGAGTGGAATATGTTGCTGACTCATTTGGTAGTCAAACAATTTAACTTACAGATGGAGTCTTATTGTGTGTGTGCAAAAGACTGATAATATATTAAAAGTGATAGATGAGCTTGAGTTTGGGCAAACATTTGCTATGTTGATAACCTTGCCTGTGGCTATTAATCAGAATAGGTTTCTTAATCAGTGCCAGTAATTGCATGCTGAATCCTCTACTCTTGAACATGTTGTGAAAATGACTCAAAACATGAAAAACTTTGTTTTGTTTTAAATGGAAACGTACATAATTTGTTGTAGCTTTAACTCCTTATAGATTAGTTAGGTGCTAGGAAATATTTGCAGCTGGATACCTTTTCCTCTTTTGCTGAAACAATTTTCATTTTTTCAATAATTTTTCTTTCTCTTAGAAAAATCATATTGGGAAAGAAGTACCTTTATATGCCTCCAAAACTAAAGATGCTAAGAATTAACAGTTGTGCTTTCTTTGGTGTTAATATAAGTAGTCCTGTGGGCTGTGGTTTGGCATGCATTCTTACTACTTATTTTAGTAGGAAGAAAACTAACACAAAAGATTGACCATTTTAGACAAAATTAGGATTATGATATCATGATAAACTTAACCTAAGTTTTCCGTCACAAGGGGCTATACGCAAGATCTCGAAAATGGGGATAAAAAGTTGATGGTGGCCAAACTTACATATTCTGGAAAACTTTATTATTGAATTCGGAAGAATTATATAACTAATTAGCCCAGATTGGTAATTGATTTGTTTTCAATCTGCTAAGCTTTATTTCAATGTTGTTTGCCCTCAAAACACGAGTTGAATATAATTTTGTATTGCTTTTGTTGCTACAGAAGTCACTGCTACTAAATTCCAAATACTAATATTTGAGAACATGTTTATTCATTGGCACTTACCAAATAATTTTTAATTTAAAATCCAGGATGACTAACTTTCTTTTTTGATCATCTGGGTTGATGATTGGGTTAAACTATCAGGCATTTTCGGTGTGCGCTTGTCTTCAGATTTAGCTAGATATCTGCTGCATTATTGATGATTGTTAGTGAAGCAAACATCTAGGCTTTTGTTTTCTGAACACACAATTATATATTTGTTAATTGATTCTCCTTACCAAATTTTGCATGAAGATATGGGCGATTGCAGACTCTAAACGACAAGGCTTTCTTGGGTTTGGAGAGTTTGTTACAGCAATGCAGGTCTACATGCTACATTCTCTTTTCCCTTTCATTTTGTTAAATATTATTATTGGAAATAATGTAGAATTGTACTATTTAATCATTGTTTAAGTTTTGATTTGTGCAGCTTGTGGCTCTAGCACAAGCAGGGAATGAGATTACCCAAGATACACTTGCTAATGCAGGTAAACTATGAATTAAAATCTTATTATTTACAGAGTTTGAAATAAGATGCATCAACATATCTATATTGTCACACCTGCAGACTTGGAGAAATTGAATCCACCAGTGATGGAAGGTTTAGATACTCTGCTCTCTGTAAGTCTGATGAAAATTTCCAGATTAATAAAATCAAGTAGACTTTCTACCTATTCTAACTTGCTCTCAATTGTTTGCTAGAGAAATAAGGCGTCAACAAAGAAAATTGATCCTGAGATAGATGGTATATGACTTGATTTATGTTGCATACAAATTATAGCTGCTTGCCTACTTGAACAAGATCTTATTATTTATGTCTTCTGCAGTGAACTCTAAGCCTCAAAATCCTCCATCAACCGTTCAGTGGTTTAGTTCAAAATCAGCGAAGAAGGTACTCCTTGCCGCTATTTCTTTTTGTTGATGTCATTCTATGCCCTTTTTCTAGCCGAAAAATCTTCACCAATAAGTAGTATTGTTGGCCAAAATTAAATATTACTGAACAAAACTACTGGAATTTTAACAAAATATGCTACTCAAAATTCAACATACCATATTTGCAATTTTATTCTATGAAATATATTATGCTACTAGAAAACTAATATTTACTCAGATATGTCACTCTGTTAGGTTTTGTCTACATTATTTAACAAACAATGGCTATTAATTGAATATACACTACATTTAATACCCTTTAACTTTTATTTTCCTCTGACTTGTATGAAAATATAGTTAAAACATCAATTTTACAAATGTAAAATACTTGGTCTGAGTATGTTATCATTTCCAAGCTGACCTAATTTAGATTATCTGGTAACACTACATCCATTTGAGTCGAATACTGCAAATGTAGACCCTTTTAATTTTAAATTGTACATAATAACAAATATCAACTTTTTGGTTTGACCATATCTTGATTTTCTAATGGCATTTATGTGTTTTCAAATATTGTAATGGAAAAATATCGTATTTTGGCATATTTGATGGCACAGACGAAAAAGTAAAAACCCTTTTGTTTTTGTTGGTTTTTATGTGATTTAGCTTTGTATTTGAACATTTGGTATTTCTTAGTAGGTGTAATTTTAAGTTGCTGATGTTTCTCTCATTGTGCTATTATCTTATAATCAAGTCATTACTTCAAATGGAAATTTTGTTACTTTTGGTGTTTTTCTTATTGATCATAATGTTATTTTTTGGTCAGTTATTGAATAATAAAGTTTCTACATTTTGTATATGTTCGCATTTCTATGACCTCTAGTGAATGTTGCATATGATTATAGATTAATAAACTGGGTTGACTAATAGGTATCGCTTTGTTATAGACTCTTGAATTCTCCTATCATGAGGCACCCTTATGATGGCCATTCGTAAAGGGTCAGTCTTAGACCAACCTTGTGCAAGTTCCAAAGGACCTATAAAAGAGAAAATTTATCATTTTGAAAGCAAGGATAATCAAGTCTTGATGTCTTGAACAAAAGCGTATCACTCAAACAATTCAACAAACACTCGAAAGGCAAAAGAAAATAGGACTTTAAACACTAAAATGATGTCACTTAACCAAACAATCATCGAATTGCTTAGCAAGCCCACACATGATTTACGTACAAACTCTAGGGTTCAAGGGTGCTTAGTTTTCATTCAAACCAATCATTGACACTACCTAAAGCCCCATACGGCCCACTCGGGGTTCAAGGGTGTTGAGATGTTCAAGGGCGTTGAGATTAGGGTTTTTAATTTCGAATAATACCACCCGATTAGGGTTTTTAATTTCGAATGATACCACCCGTATTGGGTGGTACGTACCGGTCCGCCAGCAGACCGGTATGCAGACCGCTCGCTACCAGGCAGTACCGTTGATTGGGGCTGTTTTCACCCCGTTACCACTCGAAATCGGTCGGTGACGGTCGATTTCGGCCGTCGTCGTCCGCCACTAGGCGGTATTAGCTGAGGGAGAAGGAAGAAGAGGGAGAAGAAAGGGAGAACCTAGAGATTCGGCGCCGCTCTCCCTCGACGATCCCGATCCGTCGTCGCCCTCCCTCGTCGGATGTCGCAGATGATATGATGTTGCCTCCTTCACGTTTGAGGTGACGAGGCCTTGGCGTTGTCAGCGACTTCTCCTAATCTGTACGGGGAGAAGAAGCCTCGGCGTGGGGAGAAGAAACCTTGGCGACGTCACTGAGTCTTCGCGTGGAGACCTCGATGTCGTCGGTGACTTCTCCTAATCCGCACGGGGAGAAGAAGCCTTGGTGTGGGGAGAAGAAACCTCGGTGACGTCATCGAGGCTTCGCGGGGAGAAGAAACTTCCCGCAAAGAAACCTCGGTGATGTCACCGAGGCTTCACGGGGAGAAGAAACTTCATGTAAAGAAACCTCGATGAAGTCATCGAGGCTTCGAGGTTTTCTTCTCCCCACGTGGGGAGAAGAAATGACGCGACGTCGCCCTTTTTTTATTTTTTAACTTTATATATATATATATACACATATATATGTATGTATATATATATATATATGTATATATATATATATATATATATACATATATATATATATACATATATATACATA